GCTCGAGCAGGTGTGCGGAAGCAACTCCCCGATGCATGAGCGGTGGCAGGATCGAGTCAGCGGGCCCATGATGGTGGCTGACTTCGGGATGTGACGGTCAGAAAGGAGTTTTCTTCAAGAACCTGGAAGCTTTCAGCGAGTGCCTGCATAAAGAAGCCGCAGCCTGCACCGGATGCCCTCCAAATCTAGCCTCGGGTGCTGCCAATGGTGAAAGGTCGTGAAATGACCAGCTGAGAGAGGCTGCAGGTAGCCGTTGGAATGCCAAACATCCGCAAGCCAGAGTGTGACAGCCGAACATACAGTGCCTTTGAGCTTCCCAACGGACTGCGAGTCATCGTTGCAAGTGATCCGGACAAGTCTGTGGCGGCAGCAGCGGCTCTGTGCGTTCTTGCCGGCAGCATCCACGAGCCCAAGGAAATCCCCGGCCTGGGTCCCAGACCTCCAAGTGTCTTGTGTGGCTCTTGTGATTCTACAGGGACGTCACGCATGGCATAGTGTTTAGCAAGAGAGTTGGAGCCAGAAGCCTTCCGCTCGAGATTTTCTTGACTCAGGCTTGGCCCACCTCTGCGAGCACATGGTGTTGCATGGAACTCTGCAGCCGTGGGGTACCACTTTTTCTGAGCACATCAAAGCACATGCTGGTCAACACAATGCAGTGACGACGATGCTGCAAACTTGCTTTGCCTTCGAGATTCAATCTGACAAGTTGGATTCTGCACTGCGCCTCTTTTGCCGTTTCTTTGTTTCTCCACAATTCTGTCGCTCCCTTCAGCATCAGGAGCTGCAGGCCATCGATTCGGAGCACAGCATGAATGCTCAAAGTGATTTCCGCCGGCAATGGGCAGTTTTGCTGCAAGATGCAAATCCTCGGCATCCGTATCACTGGGCATCAGGCTGTAGCAAGTCCTTGTTGCATGGAGCGGCAGCTGCAAACTGTGACCTACATGAAGCCATGGAGAAGTTTCACGAATCAACATATAAAGCCAGCCGCATGACTTTGGCAGTCGTGGGCCCGCAGCCAACCGAGAAACTCGAAGCTTTGGTGCGAGCGTGCTTCATTTCGGTGCCTTCAGAGCCTCAGGGTCGGACGGAGCGCTGTGCGCTGATCGGCGCTCATGTAAGCCGCGAGCCTGCGTTTCTATCAGAAGACTTTTGTGCCTCGGGTGCTTCAGAACTGCTGTCTACTAAAGTTGCCCTTTGCTGTTTAGATTCTTTTCATGCTCAGCGGCTTATGGTCGTGCTTCAAGAGCCGGAAGGTGGCCAGGTCTTCATCTCCCCGCTGAAGGACCTACAGCAGCTGAAGCTCTCTTGGAGTTTGCCATGGCAGATTGGTCGCTGGCGGTCCAAGCCAAGTGCCTATGCGACATACTTGCTGGGCCAGGAAGGGCCAGGCAGCCTTTTAGCAGCATTGAAAGCAAGAAACTTGGCACAGCATCTGTCGATCGCATGCTACGATTATCACGGTGTGGTCTCGACGCTGGAGTTGTCGGTGGACTTGACAGATACCCATGACCAGACGGTTTTGGAAGTCGGCGAGCTTGTGTTCGCATTTATCTCAATGATACGTTCGCTCGGTATCCAGGGATGGGTGCTGCAGGAGTACTCTCATCTTCAGAAGCTGAACTACAACTTCCAGTTTGATACGGCTACATACAATCTCGTACAGGACTCTGCTTGTCGCATGTTTGGTTGATTTTGGTTGTGTTGAGTTAGAAGGCAAGTGCACTGGAGACTAGCCGATGCAACATCGAGGACCTATTCAGAAGCCAAAGCCGAATCATGCACCTGCTGCTCTTGCTGCTGCTGCTGCTGCTGCTGCTGCTTCTACTTCTTGCGCTGGTGTGGCTTCTTGTTTTGCTACAGCCACGCAGCGCCATGCACAGCCGTCTCTCCCTTTGAGGTTTACGGTTTTGCCAGCTAGTATCCTCTTCTTTTCGGGTTTGGAGTTTTCCAACCACGATGTTCTTTGAGGGTATGGGGTTTGCCAAGCAACAAGTCAGTTTTCCTTAAGGGGTTTCGGGTTTGGAAAGTTGTTAGGGTTTGAGGGTTTGGCGACCAATATCTTCTGTTAGGGTTTCGGGGTCTGCCAAGCAATATCCTGCTTTCACCTTGCCCTTGCCTTATTTGTCTTTTTGGGTTTAGGGTTTGCCAGCACTCATAATCAACATGATGAATCGCCCACGTTTTTTCGAGTTTGTAACCTTTGGTTTCACAAAAGGTTCTCCTGAGTTTCTGTCGTTGTCCCAATCGGTCCTTCTTCTGTCCAACTTCTTTTTCGAGTCGCTCGGCAACTGTGTGCCCTGCGAGGACTTGGCATGCAATCTCCACTACTATCCAGTTGAAGAGGTATTGGCAGCTGACAGCCTGCTATATGATCAGGATGCAGGGGCGTCGATGGATATTCTGAATCTCATGACGGTCGACAATACTCGCCTCTCTCTGCTGTCCAAGTCTCTTGAGTCTATCTGTACTTCTTGCGAGCCCTGGTATGAAGCAAAGTTCATGAAGTTTCAAAGCATCAAGAGGACTTGGAAGGCCAGGTGGCAGGAGCTGGAGTCGGGGTCTTGGCGCTCGATGGTGGAGAAATCGGGTCTCGGCTTTCCACATCGCAACAGCTTCCTGCCGGCAGACTTCGCGCTGCGATCCGTTCCACCCTTTGCTGCTGCATGTGAGATGGAGGTGCCACAGGACTGGTGTCGTGCGTGGCTTCGTCCCACCACTGCCAACCATCAGCCCAAGGTTGCGGCGTCGTTTTGCTTTCGCTCGTTTCAGCTTTCCACACCTGCCGACATTGCGTTGGCCCACATTCTCTGCAAGTGCGTGGAACAGTCCTTCAGGGCAGAAGCATTTGAGGCAAGGATGGCCGGTGCTATGTACAAGCTCGACGTGGTGGACCACTGCTTTTTGCTGCAGTTCTTGGGCTTCCGAGACAAGATGTGGCTCTTGGCCAGGGCAGCAGCCAGCTCACTCTTCGCCATGAGCCAGATCCCTCGTGACTGCTTCTTGCAAGCGAAGATGCAGCAGGAGCGCGGGAGCCCGGGACCCGTCCTTGTGCTCCTTTTGCACTCCGCAGTCTCCCATGAAAGCTTAAGGCCGCTGGTCACTTCTAGAACAGTTGAGCTCATAGCGGATTGGGGCAAGTGTTTGCTTTTGAAAATTGAAAGCTGATCGAGAATGAATCACAGGCAGGTCTTTCAATGAAGAGGTAGTTGTCAAACTCAACAGAGGAGCGGATCTTCAAGAATGCATCGACTGGCCAGGCGTACAGCCAGGCGGGGCCATTGGCATTCTGCTCGCCGCGGCGCTTCTTTCGTCTGTGCCTCTCGCCAGGCCTTGGCAGCTCTTGAAGAGCTTCTGCTGCAGCGCCCATCCGCGCCTGATTTGCTGAAGGTGGGGACTTCCTGCTCCGTAAACTGGAGATGCAGGTATCGTCTTTCTTGCTGTCTCGTTCGTGCGAGGCGACTCAGCAGCTGCACCAAGACATGGCCGGTTCTCTTCCAGAGAAGTTCTTCGGGCCCAGAGCTTGCCTGGTGGAAGCTCTGATCATCGGCAACGTGAACGAAGCAGATGCAAGGCAACTGCTCGAGGCTGTGATTGGCCCTCTGGCAGAGTTGCGGAAGAATTGCAACCCAGGCCAGGACCAGGTGCCTCCCGCCACGCCAGTTGAGGTGCCTGCAAAGGCAGAGCTCTTGATACCGAGATCCCATGGGCGCACTATCTTGAAGATCGACGGACACGCCGCCCAGGACACCAACAACTGTGCAGTGGAATGCTTGTGCAATATTGCGGCCGCTACGCCTGAGCATGAAGCCCTCGCAGCTGTCTTGGTCTCTATATGGAAACCTTTATTCTTCAACGAGCTTCGAACCCAGCAGCAACTTGGTTATGTTGTCTCTTGCTTCATGCGGATCCGCGTAACGCACGTCTCCCTGATCTTCGTGGTGCAGACAGACAGACTACCAGAAATTGCCTTGAAGAGCATTGACAAGTTCTTCGGCCACGCCTTTACTCACATCATCTGCGCAGTCACCGAGCGTCAGACCTGTCCTGAGCATTCGAAAACGTGTGTTGTGATTCGATCGTGTTTGGAGCTTCGTGCAAGAACCAGATCTAAGGTTCCGGGAGCAGTGCGAAGGCATCGCTCGGCAGTTGGAGGAGTCTCCTCGCAACCTGTGGGATGCGATGAGCCGCGACTGGCTTCCCATTGAAGAAAGGACCTTCTCCTTCGATGCCTGCTTGCGGCAGGCGTGAGTCTTTCCCACATCCCGCCCGACTCGTGAACCAGCAACACACGCGTACCGCCCTTTCACCCTAAGCTGTTCTGCTGGCAGATACTCAGAAACCTCCGCGAAGATGCGAAGATAGTGTCGATACTTCCGCGGAGGTGGCGATGTTGCGTGCCTGCACCCTGAACCAGCTGCGGGCCTTCGTGAAACAGGAGGCCGGGCCGGACCGGGCCTGCTGTGTGGGGTGCTGCTTTGCCCTGCCGTGCTCTGGCAGGTCCAGCCGTCACCTCGCTTGGCGGTCCTGCTCCGCAGCCCGAAGGCGGCGTGGCAGCGAGCAAGCCATGACTGGGGCGATGCCAGAGTTTTAACAAAGTGGGGCCTAACAAGCTTCAAAGCAGGACTGCAGCCAAGCTTTGCAAACAAAGCCTTTGGCAAAGCTGGTCAAGCTGCAAGCTCTTCTGAAGGGAAGGCTGATGCCTTGACCATCGACGAAGACGAGGAATGCAGAGTGCAATGAGAAACATCTTCTTGTGTCAAGAATCCGTTCCTCCGTCCACAGGTGACCCTCTGAGGTTGAAGTTCAGGGCGCTTTCATCAAGACTCGCGGTGCGGCCTCAAGACCGGACGACTTGGCTCAAAATGTTCGTGAAAACCGAGTCTTGGGCGAGAACAAGTCCTTCGAACATTTTTTAAGCAGGCACGGGCAAGAAGACATCGAACCTGTTTTTGACTGCCAAGCAGGAGACTTCTAGTCAAACTTTTCGTGTGGAGCTCATGGCTTGGTTTCTCTCGCGACTCGAGCGGCAGGCACGCGCCGAAGCCGCGGGGTCTGGATGTGTTTGTACCTTCTTTGAACGCCACAGGCTCTTGCAGGCTTTGCTGTGTGCGCTCCGTTCTTGGTACGTCGGTTCGAGTCCCGTTGTTTCCGACACACTAGCCTGACTGTTCCAAGGTCGTGGTCACTGCTGTTCTACATGAGGTGATGCAGCTTCGAGTACTTCCCTCTGATACTGCCAGTTGGGTGTCTTCTTTGCTTCAGTGGCGTGTAAGCCCTAGATGTTTCATGTGCTGCCCTTAGGATCTGGCGACATCCATCCAGACACAATTGTTGGAGGAAGCTGCATGTACATGCGGCCGGGAGGGAACTTCTTGCCCATCGTTGCAGGATCACTATTCCACTCTAGGTGTGGCCGTGGATGCCAGTCAAGCAGAGATCACCACGGCGTATCGGCGTGTTCCGGGCCCAATGTCTGGCCCTCTTACGACGACACCTCTTGAAGTCCCTGAGGCAACCAACAAGATCAGCTCAAAGCAGCAAGCCTTGACCTGAGCTTCTGGTACTCTGACAGATTCGCCCCTTAGACCTCACTCTTCTCCGAGATTTGAGGACAAGCAAAGCCGGGCAAAGCTCAGTGCGGCTTACGACACCTTGTCCGGAGCATCGCGACCTGCCTACGATAAGCGCAGGTGTGGAGCCCCGCCGCACGGCCGTGCGTTCAGGGAGCCCCCAAACTCTTCTGTTTTTGGCTCTTAGAGGCAGTTTGTGATGCTGGCGAGCTTCATCCTCCTTGCGGCCCTGGAGCGGCTCTCAGTGGCCCTGAGAGCTCTTTCTGGTTGAATTTGGATTTGGACTTCCCGGACCTGCGAGAGGTCAGTGTGCCTGCGGTGTTTCTCGCTTACTTTTGTGCTCGGGTCTTGGTCGCAAGCTGAGACTCCTCCGACCCCCAAAACCCCCAAAGTCGTGCTCGTTCAAGAAAAGGTGCGAGTCCGCGGACGAGATCTGGATCCTCAAAGCTTCACTGGGCGAGCTCGATGCCAAGATACGAGGTTTTCAAACATCGGGGGCGAGGATGGATTTATTGATTTATTCGCCGTCGACGGTCGAAAGAGCCATCAGCCGCATCTCAACCGACATGGCAGTGTGTCGAAAGTGCGCAATCGGGGGGCAAGGCCTTGGCGGAGGTGTTTGTTGACGGCCGCAGGTCAATCAGAGTCTTCAGAACATGGAGCTCTCCTTGGAGGTGAAGATCGCCAAGGCTAGCGACATGCACATGCACAGCAACAGGATGTCACATTGACATTGGACATGATCCTCTGTCGTTCCGCAGGACCAAGACGGGCCTCTGGGAGCGCAGCTCATGCAGGTTGACAATGGAAAAAGGTGTGTGTCCCGGGTCCCAGCTCCATGTCCGTGTCGACGGGAATCAAGAGCCCCAGCTCAGGCTACAAATCTGCAAGATTGCGGGTGAAGGTCTCATTCATCAGCACAATGCGAAGGCTTGCCATGTGTGGACCTTCAGAGGATTTCAGCACTTGGCGCGTGGCAGTTGACAGGTGTTTGAAGAGAGGGAAGGTCGTGACGCCGTGGGCATCTCGCCAGCCGGAATGGTTTGGTGGCACCTGCGGTGGCCTCAGGTAACAGGAAGGTGAGCTGCTCTCTTATTGGCTTCGCCTCACGGGAGGCCCTTGCTTCGAGAAAGTGACATCATCGAGTCGGCCGGGCCCAGCATTTCTGCCCTTAGAGCAGCTCCTGATGCGCTTGAAGCTAAGGTCAACGAAAAGAGGGGTGCCACTGACATGATGAACGAGCTCCAGTCTGGTGAGGCAGGGCGCCACGAGAAACGTGCCTTGTGCCGCTCCATTGGAAAGCAACAGCAAGGAGTGGCTCTCCCTCCGCATACGCCGACGTCTCGTTGGTGGAGCCGGATGCTCGAGGGCACCGCGGAGGGAGCGCCGCGCCGCTGCGCCGCCGCGCCGCTGCGCCGCGTTGCCGGCCGAGGCTTCGGTTCTTCCCTTCCTCTTTGAGCAGAAGCTGACCCGTCGCGAGAACGAAAGGCGTTGAACGCATCCGGCGAGGGTTGGGCCCGGGTTTGGCTTTGGCCCTTTGGCCCGTTCAAGGTGGGGCTGCGAGCTGGTGGCCCCTCCCGACGAGAGCGACAGCCTGCAGGCCTCCACGCACAGCTCCGCAGCAGCTCCTCATGCTTTTCCCTCCTCCGCCTCCGAGGTTGCCGGTGACGTTCTGGAAACTTCCTCTCACGAGGTCCAGCCGCCACGCTCGTCTGGCGCATTGGCCCTCTGCGGCCCCTGTCAGGCAAGTGCCGGGACCACGCTGCGCCCGGGGGATCGCATCGTGTCCGTCGGTTCAGTGGTCGGCGCTGACCTGAACACCTGAAAACAGAGCCGGGGGTCCGGGATAGCGGATGCAGGATGCAGGGCAGCCTAATGACACTTCCAAGGAAGAGGGCCTACATCACACTACGTTCAACAACAAGGCACCACCATCCTAGCCCACCTAGCTGCCTCAAAGCTCCGCCTTCCAAGAACCGAAGGACTCCGAACCTCGTGCACTCATTACCTGGCTGCCTCGGAGCCCCACCCGCCTCGAAACAGAAACCCCGAAGAACCAGAGACGCGTGCGCAACCAATAGGGCCAAACCTGGAAGTCCTGGAAAGGCCATTCTGGCTGCCTTGAGCTTTCGTCCCAGGTTCCAAGATGCTGGACACCTTGCGTGACAGCTCCCTTCTGTCACTTAGCCGGGGCCCCCCCGTTGTTCTTGGAGTTTCTCCACTTGGCGGTGATTCGTCGGCCTTCAGGTCTCCTCGTCGTTCGAGGGGTGCTGATGCCGCCAGGGCTGATCCAAGCCTCGCCGAAGGAGGTTGCGGGCCGCTGTGTTAGGTAGCGGAGCTTCTCCACCTTCCCCCATTTTCGGAAGCGCCTGAGGTGTCCTGTGGGCCCTTGCAAAAACGCGAAGGACAAAAGCTTGGTATTCGAATCGGGTCCTGTGCTGAGCCGTGGAGACGGCATGACATGTCCTGACGTTCGGCCATCTGAAGGCATTGCTTTGAAAGCCCTCCTGCGTTAGTGGCTCAACGGCGTGCTTCGACGCATGGAGGGGGCGTACTTGAACGTCCCTTCTGAGGCACGGGATCCTTCTGGGACCTGGTTGTGCGAGCTCTATGGTCGTCAAGGAGGCCGAAGCACAGAAGACAGGAAGCCTGCGAAGACTATGGATGGACACAGGTCGTCCCCGGTCATCTTGTCGACCAATGGAATGTCCAGCAGCGGCCTTGAACCTTAGCAGCCAGCTGTGGGGATCTGTTCTAGGGTTTGTCTCAGGCAGGCGAGCTCCGACGTGCTGCTTCCCAGCTGCGTCATTGTGGCCGTCAATGGCCGCCGACAGTCCCAAGAGCAGCCCGTCCCAGACCAGTCCGGATCCAGAAGTGAGGTGTGTGCTTTCGAAAGAGCCCGAGGTTCGCCACGGAGCTTGCAAAGCCTGTCGTCACCATCGTGTCCCGTGCTCGGCTTGCATGCTCCGAGCCATGCATCCACAGCATTGCAGTTTCACATCAGGTTCCGTCCCTTGCCCGCTGAGCTTGTCCAGCGACCGGAAGTTCAGGTGCATGGAGGGAAGGTGGCGCAGAGAATACTAGAGCATGCTGCCTGGCAGGTCAAGGAGCCGAGTTGTGAAAGCGCGGACAGCGGTCAACGCCGTCACGTCAGACCACTGCACCTCGACATCGACGAGGATGGCCGTGGCAAGGGAACCAGGACCAGTGGCTCTTTGAAGACCTCCGTCTTACAGCTTCGAGAGGAGGCTCTTCGGCCATGGCCTTCGCGAGTTCTGCACGGCTGGGACGCCCTCTCAGGGTGTCAGCGTACAATGAGTGGCACGATGTGGCACATGTGTGGAGCAGGGATCAGCACAGGTACTGTAGGAGGCTTCAGGAACAACGCAACGCGGTTGTTGATTAAATGTCAACAGGGATCAAGAAACACACTGAAGCAAGTTCCCACGGCTTCGCTCAGTGGAATCCTGACGCAACACCATGAGCTTTGTCGAAGTTCCATGTGTGCGGTTCAGACGTTCATCGTGTCCGAGGCCCCACGCTGGCTGCTTCCGCGTCCCTTTGAGGATCCAGAGCTGGAGTGTCTTGACTTGCTGCGCTAGCGTGGGAGCGGTGTACTGCGAGGAGCGTCTGCGGAATCATCTGCGCCTTTTGCATTGCGAGCCGCTCGCCATCATGTCGCAGCATCATTTCTCCCCGGCAAGCCCGATGGATGCATTCCGCGAAGCATACCGAATCCGAGCCTAGGTTCACTGTCCGCATCGAAAGACCAGACGAAACAAGGCATCCGGTCATCCGCATAGGGCCGGAGCTTTGTCGGCGGCCAGCTGTCGCTGTCAGGCGATTGGGCCTGCACCTCCAGAGCGACCGCTCGCAACTCAAGTGTAACAAGAAGTATCCTCTGCGACATGTGCCAAGCCGTTCAGTGTCAAGGTGGAGGCCTGCAGGTGCTGGAGGCTTGCTTGAGGTCAGTCTGAGACGCCTGCATGCTGTGCCGGCAGCATCTCGTAGGTTGCTGACGGTGGTCTGGTGGCACAGCACAACCACAACATCCGCTTGGCGAGGCAGGGCAGAAAGCTTCAAACATTCAGTACTAAACCTGGAACTCTGATATGAACCCCTGCCCTGCTCGCAGTCGGAGTGCCACCGAAATCGACGTCCGCCGTGGTGACCGGCTGGTTGCTGTTGGCAGCACCACCTCACCTGGCGCAATGGTACGCATGCCAAAGTTATCGTGAGCAAGACTGTCGGACCGCGTCTGTGGACAGATGGATCAACTTGCAAAACAAGGGCAGGATGATCTGGCGCTGGGCTGAGGCGTATCTTTGCATATCTCTTCGCATGACTTGTCTCGTCGAGGCTTCGCTTAGCCGTTCGGCCTTCTAAGGAGCTCCGATTCACACGTCCTGCGGCGAAATCTGCTCCTGGGGCTGGCAGCCAAGTCATCTACAGCCATCTAAAGCCTTTCGGCTTGGGGGGCATCTTTGGGGAGTCCTGGAGAGATGGTTGCAGGTGTGGGAGATCGACATAAGGAGGAGTGAGAACCAAGGCACGGCGAAAGGCTCTGCACCTTGGACCCCGGCGCCGTTTCGCTTCGTCAGGTTGGGGTCTGGAGTTGTCTGAAGTGATGATGACCACCCCGGCCGGGCCTGGGCACTCGGATTCACTCCGCAGAGTTTCCGAAAATAGGGGACCCTAATACAGCAATGATTGATTGCCCTACATTGTAGGATCCTTATTAAACTCGCGCTCAAGGCCCCGAAGTGCAGGCGTCCTCAAAGTGCAGCGGGTCGCGGCAGCCTCGGCGGTTGCGGAGCACGCTTGTTCCTTGTTTTTGGGGGCGCTTGGAGCTTTTGGAGCTCTCAGGCTGAGGAGGCCGCGCTCGGACAGTGGAACAGTAGCCAAGACGCACAGCGAGCAGCCGAGCGACGAAGCCATGCTTTACTCTTTGGACCCGTCCTTACGACACTTTGAGGTGGTGTGTGGAGCCTGGAGACCTGCTTGTCGCCTGTGAGCCAGAGGTGCGCGGACCGGGCCAAAGCATGACTTCAAGCACTTTCATGCAAGCTGTTCTTAAAAATCTAAACAGCTTGAGTTCACTCAGCTGACAGCTCAGCCCCCGCGGAGCCCTGCCCACTCGAACTGCACCGCTCTCAAGGGGAAGAGTTCCGAGTTCCGAGCCGGTTGGCGGAAGGTGGAGCCGAAGCAGATTCTCCAGAGGCTTCGCGGGGCTCAAGAAGTCAGGCTTTTTGCTCAGTTCACTCCAAATGTGGCCGGGTCCCTGATGTGGGCAAGTCTTCTGAGGTTGACGTTTCTCAGATGGCACAAAGGTGCTGCCCCAGAACCGGAGGCGCACGAGCCCAGCTGGACGCCGATGCGCTGCTTTGCTTGCATCGCAGGCCCTCCCCTCCGAGCCTGGGAGGACCAGCTTCGAGGCGCACCTCTCTTTCTCCTCCTCAGCATTGAAAGATGAAATGCTGTATACCCAGGTCGTCATCTCCAGGACCGGCGAAGATCGCTTGGGCCTGCGCTTGCGACCGTCGGAGGCCCAAGGATCAACCTTGCCCTGGCCCGTGACAGCTTCCGCATCTGGTCTGCTCTCTTTCGAGTTTAGGGTTTAGCTTGGTTAGGCTTGAGGGTTTAAGGTTCGGTCTCATCTCCCCTACCTCAGTGAGCCAGAGTCGGTCAAGGTGTTCGCGCGATCCCACACGCACCGTGGTTTCGGAGGCCGGGCACAGACATATCCAACAATTGTGTTACATGAAAGTAACATCATACTCGATTCAACTTTTTGGGCTTGACTAACATGAAAAGTTGATCGCCGGCAACACGAAATTGAGTACGAGTGCAGGTGAGTCAGGTGGACGGTAGTCAAGAAAGTAACCGCAAACTACACACTGTGTTTTCGGGTTGTTGGGTGCTCAGCAAGGATTTGGTTGATGCTTGGCTTGCTTGTGGAGAAGTTGCGGCTGTGCTGAGACTTCTTGCGCTGGGCGACTGCACTCCGAAAGCCCATTTTGCTTCATGTCTGTGCACTTACGAGTCTTCCAACTCGTGCCGGCGAACGTTTGGCTTCGTCAGTGCTACTCAAGAACAGCTGTGGGACAGGCGAGCTGTGCCAGTGTGTTCAGGTGGTGCCGGACAGCTTGGTCGACAGGCACAACAAGGCACACCTGCGAACCGACCTGTGAGGTCTGTTCGTTGGTTCGCAGCTGAAGGCAATGCCGGACAACCAGATCGTGCAGGGTGACGAGGTCTGATGGGTTGCTGCAGCACTTGGCGATGAATGCCACGAGTTGACAGGTGGACTCTGTGAACGGAGAAGGTGATCCTGCTCGCTTTCCCGACTGTTGCTCACAGCCCCAGCCCGAGCTCGAATGTTTTCTGAAGCGCCGTGGTGACTTTGCAGAGTGCGACAGATACGGAAGCCTCCACCGGCTCGGACCGAGGTCGAGGATTGTTTTCAGGCTGACGCGCCGCTCCAAACGGCAAGCGAGCACAGGCTGTTACCGGATCTCCCGCCGTCTCCTTGCGCGAGCGCTTCTGCCGCGAATTTGACTGCAGGTGAGGAAGAAGCCGAGCAGGCTCAAGCGGAGCCTCCATCGGAGCCTCCAGTGGAGCCTCCAACGGAGCCTGCGGCCGGAGTGCTGGAGCAGACGGGCCAAAGCCTTTCTGAATCCCGTCAGCCGCCTCACTCAGAGCACTCAGAGCACTTAGAGGCCTCCGAGGGCCGCCAGGGCCAGGAAGGCCAAGACGAAGGCGACGGAGAAGGCCAAGGAGGATCCCAGCCAAGTACGGAAGGAGTTGAGGCTGGAAAGATGCCTCTCGACAAGCCCGAGGAGTTCGTCGAGGCTCCGACAAGCTGCGTGCGCCAAAGCTTCCAAAGGTTCTGAGTTGATGGTACCGGACAGGTCTCCCAACCGACGGATTCGGCTCCACAGCAGTGTGCAGATGTGCCAGGCAGCGCCAGTAGAGTTGGTCCACATGCAAGCAGACATCTTTCCGTCTTGCCCCAGGATCAGTCGGATCGATCCAGGGGCATTTACCAGAAGCAGACGGCAGGCGCGGGCGGAGCCATGCGGAACTTGAGTCAGACACACACTCTCAAGTCTCAAGGCAGCAGACGTGCGCAGACCTCACCCGTGAGCAACCTCCTCTGCCTAGAGAGGCCTTGGCAGATTCGAAAGAAGCATCATGCGATCAACAATCAGACCCGTGACAGGCAACGCACCGACCAGGCAGAGAAGTGGCAACGAAGGACACGGCAAAAGGGCTTTAGTCTACTCGCAGCTGTCCCTCTGAGCCTCAGGAGAGAGACAGAGCTCTCCCCTAAATCGTGCCAAACCCGGCCACCCTGGAGAATCGCTGTGGAAAAAGTTTTTGGCAGAACCCCTAAACCCCTAAACCATAAGCAGTGTCCCCCTCCCTCAGCCATACTGTGCTGATGGAAAAGAGGGCATATCAAAAAAAGTCACTCTAAACCCTAAAACCCTAAACCTTCTACCCTAAACCCCAAAGGAGCTTTCCTCTCTGCTGCTGATGCCCGCGAAAGCGGCGCTCCTCGCGTCCCTGGCCGCCGGCCTCGACACGGCCTCGCGCCGGCACCTCGAGGCTTCCCTGGACCGCTTGCAGGAGCGCCGAGTCGTCTCACAAATCTAGCACACAATGTAGTAGAATATGGTATAGTCCAAAATCATCATATCACAACACAGCGTATCATATCATATAATATGCAGTAATGTGCTGTAAAAAACCGGATAATGTAACATGATCGGAGATGCTCACTGCAGCGCTCCCGTGGCCAGGAACTCTCGATCTCCATGGGAGGCCTGGGTGACGGCGAGAGCGCGAAAAGTTCCCAGCTCGCCTCGCTTGGCCCGCGCTCGCAATGCCGTCAGCGCCGTCGGGTGGTCAGCTCCGTTTTGCTTCAGCTGTGGCTCAAAGAAGCTCTGGGGTACGGAGCAGGGGCATCTTTAGTTTAGGTCAGTTGTGCCGGCAAGCTATCTGCCGTTGCAAAGCCACTCGGCGCTTTCGGCCAGCCTTGGCTCTTTGTCGTCCGCTCGAGTTCTTTGCGAAGGCTGGTCGACATGTACTACGACTTCGATTGGAAAGATGCACCGCTGTCCTCCCACAGCACTCCAGTCATCGCCGGCCACCTGCTTAGAGCAGTGCTTTCTTCTGTACTGTCGTGTTATAGGCTGATCTTCAGGAACGGAGGCCCGTATCTTTGGGCCTGACTGCGTAATGAGCCCAGCGGCCCAGCGAGGTTGCCTCTATTTGCTGATGGTCCTACTGTTGCCTCGATGTGTCGGAGACTCGGATGCTTCGAAGATTCTTGGGCTCTGGACCCTTTGATGGCGGAGGTCCCGGAAGGCGGGTTCAAGCTGGACAAGACCCTGGTGGTGCACAACTTCATCCTTAGCCGCTCGTTTGCAGAGCAGAGCCTGAAGCCCCAAGCTCGAAGATCTCGAAGCCTCCTTTGCCTCCTCTTTCTTGGGAGCCCTGGGGCCCTAAGCTCTGAGGCTTCATGTCCTTGGTCCTCTGTTTGGGATGCGCCTTCGAGATGGTGCAGAGGGTGAGGAGCGAGAGCAGCGTGGAATGGATGCCTGGTCCTCATGCAAGCGGCCTACTTCAGCCATGTTTCGACCGGAGAAACCGACTTCGGAGGTTCTGCGAAAATAGATCGATGTCCGCACGAGGCCAGGCTTCTGCATGCCTTTGCCATGCCTCACAAGAGAGAGCGTGTGTGTTGGTTTTTGCTTTCTGAAAGGCCCGCTTTATTTCTGGTCCTGGGCCTTCTATGCCATGCACTCGGGCCTCGGGTCATCCTAACTTGTTGCGCTTCTTCGAGCGGCGGATATGATTTGTCGTTACGGAGTGGTTTGTGGAAGAAACTTTTCGGTGTGTTTGTGGGCATCTGTGCCTAGCAGCCTAGCAGCTAAGCAGCTTGTGTTTGTACAGCAGGAGCCGTTGTGAGCCTGGGAGTTCACGTGAAAGACTAAAAATGGGAGCACGGAGGCCCTTGTCCGGCGTATTTGACTTGCTCACATGTCTTAGACCTTGACCGAGGGAGCTCAATCGTATCTTAGTGGAGCTGGAACGCTCAGTAAGGCCAGCAAGTACTATGAGCTGGTGGATACGCTCCTGGCCTTGCTGCGGGCCTCCAGGTGAAGCTTGAGTCATAGACAGACAGATCAGATTCAGAGTATTCGCGCTTTCCTACAGGCCGCCGCACTTCGGCCTGCACGTGTATCACCATGCCCTCGTTCCGGTAGGGCCTCGAGTCTTCTGCTTCTTTTGTTGCAGCGACGTTTTCTTCCCGATTGTGGCAGAGGTCATGGTCTGGCACTGGCTCGAGTATTGCACCACTCTTCAGCACATAGGCAGGAGCTTTCGCATATTTGTTGGTATCCGATGCAAACGTTGTGCAGTGTGGCAAGGACTGCTCTGGAACACCTTTGTGCATGTGGTTATGTATGCCTACTACGCTCTGAAGGCACACGTGCTAGAGTCTGCTAGAGCGAGAGCGCAGTGAGGCAACTGGCAGAAGCTTTAATGACATACGCATGGATATGGGTTTCAATATTCCACAACGGTGCGTGTGTCGCGTCTGCATTTCCCGATTTGCCGTGTTGAGTGGATTGCCCATATTCAGGTTCTCAAGGTGCCGACGTCAGCTGCTGAGACTTTCTGATCGTTTTAGTCGGAACATTATTTACACCGCTCCAGCGCCGACTCGGAACAGTGTGATGAGGCCTTGGAAGAGTTGGGTAACACGCTTGCAGATCATTCAGTTCGTCAGCAGCATGGCTGCCTTCATGCCGGCCATGTACTACATGTGGGAGCGCAGCCTTTGCTTCTTTTTGATGCGGTCGGCTTTTGGATCAAGTAGCTTGCAGGAGTCACCGCTCGGAGATGCGTGTGCTGGGCAGAGGTCATTTCTGGCCGCAGCCGCAGAACGACGCAGAGTGGAGCGAAGGTCTCAAGAGAGCCGGCTGCAGGTGAACCTGGCTTTCAACCTCACGCTGCTGTGGCAGTTTGTTGGAGTGCTTTATACCCCTGCCGGGAGCCAAAGTTTCGGAAATCGCACAATCGCAGAAAGCTTCCGCGCCCAGGCGGCTGGAGCAAAAAAGGGGGGCCACAAGAAGGAATGATAACGTTGATCTTCCATCCTTTTCCCAGTGACCCTGAAGGCCGCACCCTAAAGGCTGTCAAGCTGCGTGGATGCCTAAAGAGGCTCCAGTTGGCCAAGCCTCGTGGTCACCTGCCAATGCTGCCGTTACAATCGGTTTGCTGGCGCAGCTGGCGCCAGCATCTTCAGCGCATGGTAGTCGTGTCACCCTGCCACCGTGCAACCTAGACCGCTTCGGGAGATCGCCCCAAAAGTCGTGCTGGCTGCACCACGGCACAGGGTTCCATGCATTGCCGTGCATCAGTGCTGGCCGGCAGAGATGGTTCAAACCTTGGGCCTTATGAAGTGAGAGAACATTTTCTTCGCTGTGCATGCCTGTCTTACAACAGCTGTGATTACTGCATGTTATTTGGGTCCACTCTCCCAGCAAGTGTTGCATCGGGTCAGCTTTCATAGACACATGGCTTCGCGGCTTGCGGCCTGCGCTGTGCCCTCGGATGCTGCCCCGCAAATTCCACAGGCGTTTGTCTCGAATCTCGTGGACGCTGGAAGGTCAGGCCCTGGCCAGCGGGCCGCCTTCCTTTGTTCCAAGCCCAGAGCTGCCAAGAGGGTTTAGGGCTGGGATTCAGGGATTTAGGGTTCTAAGAGTCCTGAGCCCGCATACCGAGGACGCGGGTCAGCCATGGGCAGTGCCGGCAAGGTGCCTCTGTCTGCGACGCAAGTTGATGTTGCGGGGACTGGGAATGGGTGCCCTGCCTGCGAGTTGCTTGGCCCTACATGGTGGGTGGCCTAGAAGCGCAGCCAAGCATGGGCCCAGCGATGACGCGGGATCTTTTGGTCCGACATGAGGTCCAGATGCGCGGTGCTCTGAGCAGTTCCGCAGACAGCGAGGTGACAACCGACGCAACCTTCAGGCCTCGGGTTTTGCTTGCAGGGCCACAACAGGAAGAGCTTTTGTGACTCTCCTCCGCTCACGAGAAAGTGCGCTGCCAACGGTCAGGTACAGCAGCTTTAGCTGGCGAACGTCTGCCGGCGAAAGGCTGATATGCATGTCCATGCGATGCATAAGGGCTTGGTTTGAGCTTCGTAGGTATCCGTACGAATACATTGTTGCTCAACAACCTGCCCGGTGCCAAATCTCAAAAACCACGGCATGGGTAGTTCGAAAGAGTAGCTCAGGCTGGCGGGGGAACGGCCCGCAATGCTCTTGTCGCTTTGGAAGAGAGCTTGCGCCAGACCTATGGGGCCATGTGTGCACGCGAGTTCAGAAGCCCTGAATGCTGAAAGCTGCTGAAAGCTGCTGAAAGCTCGAAAGGCCGGGGCCTGCCAGTGGTTGGACCGTGGTTCTCATACCCTCGGCTGCCGACTCAGGCTTTCGCCTCTCAGCTCGGATGTTTGGGAGACTGTGCAGGTTTCGCTGGTTTGTAGCGGCAAAGAAGAGATGAGACCCCTGGCCACGCTGCTCTCGCAGCGAGGGCCGGGAGCTGGGAGCTGGAGCTCTGAACCCTTCCGTGCGACTTTCGGAGCTCTGAGGCATCGTTGCTACATCCTGGAGTGGTCTCGAGCCTGGTGTCCGGTGGAGAGCGGGTGAACTTGGAAATGCTGTGACCATGAGGCCTGGATGGACGCAACACGTTCAGACCAACTGGGCGCAGAAGCCCCAGTGCCATTGCATGCCGTGCCGCTGTACCACCGTGCCGCTGCAGGCTGGAGCGGTGCAAGACGGAGCACCTTGCTGAGGAATACCAGGAGAGAGCTGAGAGAAGTGCCGATTGTCACTCTCAGTCTCACCATCACCAGTCTCCAGGACTTCTGGTGTCAGGCCTTGGAGCACGTCGCTCAGCGAGAGCTGGCTGAAGCCCATGGCCAAGCGGAGAAATCCGAAGCGAAAGCTCGTAAGTCGGAGCCTCAGCTCTTCGCCTGCAAGGCCTGCAAGGCCTGTAGCCCTGCTGCCCTGCCTAGGCTTTGCATCGTTGCAGCTGGGAGTGCTTCCGTCTATGCTCTCCGGGCTGTGAAGGTCAGAACGCTCCCAATCCGCCTCTCTCCCCCACGTTGAGCTGAGTCTCGGCCAGGCGCTGCAGGACTTTGTCCCAGAGGAGAAGTCCCAGGCGCCGGAGTTCGGGCTCTGTGGCAGCTGTGGCCTTTGATGCCTGGCTTTGGGATTGCGCTTAGGCGATACCGGAGCTCCGCTACGACTCCTTGGTGATGCTCGCTCCAAGCTCCGCGCCGAGTTGCCGGCTTCTAGCTGTGCTTCTCGGGACTCCTTCGAAGGACACGTATGACGTGTGAGCCAGCGAGTTTGTTTTTGCGGAGTCGCCTTTCTAAGGTTGGAGGGCAGAGCGGCGGCAAGGCTGGCTTTCCAGGCTGTCACCGGATCGTGCCGCCTACTGGATGGGCGCCGCGACCTTGGCTTCATTGCCACAGCGGCCTCCGCATGCAGACAGCGAAGATTCTGAGAGCGATTCTTTGCTTTGCAGCATGAGGCTCGAAGTCTTAGACTAGGAAGGCGAGGGCCGCCCGAAGCCATGGCCGGAGTGAATGCAGGGAAGCGGTAGGTGCATGGAGAGCGGTGGCTTGGCAAGGGCTCAGACATGTTTGGGTCACACTTCCGTGACGATGAGACAGGCTCATCGGCTTTTTGTCTGTCGCGTTGGTACTTGCCCTATTGCAAGGCCCGGCTCCGCAACTACCACGAGGGCCCCGAGCACGGCTTGCTTATGGCGAAGCTGAGTCGAATCTTGACTGCAACCGAGCGGATTTTCTGAAGCTTCCTCCCTGGCTTTGCTGTGCATGTAGTGCAGCAGTCTCCCGAGTTGAGGACGCCTCCGAGCCGCGAGGTGGAGAAGCTGAAGCCTGAGATCCATGAATTGCTGGGTTTGCTGCGCAAGGCTCTCCACTTGGTGTGTGAAGAGCTGCGGCGAACGCACAAGTGCAACAAGCACCTGGAAGAGCGCCAAAGCGACCTGGCCGCGGAACTGGACGAACTGAAGCCCAAGTCAGTGCAGCTGACACGCTTGGGGGGTGCCGTGAAAGTGAATAATCGCCCGGAGCGCATCGAGCTCACGAACCATCCTGCCCAGCCTTGGCAAACCTCGCACCTTGGAGCCGTCATCCCAGCTCGTCACCTTGTGGCGGCTGCCGCGCCAGTCGCACCAGCCGCAGCCGTGGCAGCCGCGGCGGCTTCTTCGGCCCGATCCTCTGCAGCACCCACTTCGGCTCCCGATGGTTCGGAGCGCCGGCAGTCAGAGGAAAGCAAAGCGAAGAACAGGGCATCCGGTGATCGGAGCTCGATGGCAAGCAGCAGACGCGTGACGCTGAAGCTGTCCAGAAGTATCCTGAAGAAGCTTTCGGCCAACGCAGGGCATTCACAGAAGGAGGAGGGCAGCGACAGTGGTTCCGAAATCTTCGAGGCCAACAATCCCGAAGAAGTCCAGGAGATGCAGAGGATTCTCGAGCAGCTCAGCTGGAAGTACGAATACATGCCAGAAGGGAACGAAGTGGGTCAAGAAGACGCTGATCTCAAGCCTGCTCGCGAAGAGGACTGCGTGTCGATTGCATGTCACCATATGTCACCCCAGCTCAAGCCATTAAGTCCAGTGCCCCTAGATGAGTAGGTGTCGGCGTGATTTGGTGCATTGTAGTCTAGTCGGCCCATCACGTTCGAGCACACACACATGCGCGTGTGCCAGCCACATGATGAGGAGCCTGAAACATCTCCGTCGGTACGTGCCTCACTTTCCCGGCGACTGACGCCAGGCATGCTGGAAGATGAAACCGGCTCCCTCCCACCTCGTCGCTTGACTTTGTTCCAGGCCAAGTGATCTGTGGCAAAAGCCAGCAGAAGCACATCTGGCCGGAGCACACCCAGCACCTCTCACTCGTACTTGTGACGCGACATCTGTTGCGGACGTTAATGTGCCTTCCGCCAGCCGGTGGGACTCTGAGCATCGGTAAGAAGAAAAAGGAGGAGCTTGTTTGGTTGTGCAGCTGCTTCTTGATGTGCCTGGAGCGGCGCTTGGTTTGCCAAGAGGCTCTGCTTCACACCGACTCCCGGGTGGGCCGCATCTTTCGACGGTCCTACTTTGGGTGGGAGTCTTGAGACTCGCGGGAGCCGAGCGGAGAGTGCACAGTTAGAGCCCCCCTGGGCCCCTCCGCACTGGCCAAGGAAGAAGAATCTCCAGCGCCATTTCTTCCATGCGGGCGCACCGGATGGAAACGAGGCTCAACCCGCGTTCCGAGGTCCTCTGAAAGTCTTGTTTCTGAAGCATCGGAGGAGCGGCTCTTGCAGCTGGCCTCCTGGTTCTTTCAGAGGCACGTGGGAGGCCGGGAGCTTCCGATGAGCTGGATGTATGTGGCCTGGCCAGGCCACGACCCTACGCGCAAACTGATGCGGCCATTGCATATGGATTCTTGGATCCTCCTGGCATCGACTCCGTCTTCCCCCAAGTCCCGTATGAACTGAACATCTCCCCGTCACAGGCTGCTCGTGGCTCTGTGCAGGTCGATGGTCTTGCCGCCGAGATCATCACGCAGCCTTTCAGGTCCCAATTGGCCATGTGGGGGCCGCTTTGGGGCAGGGAGGGGTCTGAACGGTTCTAAGTAGTTCGAGCTTCATCCTGCCATCTACCTGGACATTCTAGATGCAACTTGCTTTCAGCCGCATGCACTCACAAGCTCGGCCACAAAGGGTCTTTCGTGTTTGCTCGTCGGCCGCGCAGCTCCTTAGGTCTGAAGGAGCAGGAGCAAGAGCTAGTGAGGATGGAAGTATTCTCTATCTTTGTTGTTTTGGAGGTATCGAGTAGATGGAGCGTTCAAGTGGTGCAGAGCGCCGTCCTCTTGACAACCGTTAATAGAAAGTTGCTGTTGCATCGTCATGTCAAGAAACAGCGAAGATTTCCGTAAGATAGGTTACGTTCCATGCACAACAGCGATGTGGCCTGTGATAGCAAGCATTATTTTTTCCTGCAAGCTTCCGTCTCTTTGGAAAGGGGAAGCAGAGTCAGAGGCTTCATCCTGACTTTGCTCTGCTTTGCAGTCACTTCTCCAAATCTCGCGATTCGGATCTGGAGCCAGGCGCCGTGTTCTGCTCCTCAGCCCAGAGTCAGAGTCCCAAAGTGGCGCTCAGTCTACTTCGCTGTGGACAGCATTGGAGGCTCGCCTGGCAGTGAGATGGACATGTGTTAAGTGGGAGTTTCGAAAAAAAGGGGTACTGTACCTTCTTTTGGGGTCCTTATAAGAAGGATCCTACTATTTAGGGTACTATTTTGAAGGGTCCCCTGTTCTCAGAAACTCCCATATGTCTCGCCCTAGCAAGTGATCCAGGCCGGTCTCCAGTCTACGAAGTCTGTGGAGCGTCGTCGACCCCTGATCGGAAACGAGTTGCAAGAGAAGCCCCGCTTGGGAGCTTCATTGCTGTGTCGAGGTTTCGTTCCCTCCAAGTCGCCGCTGCCGCATGAAGTGGCCACTTCTGCAGTGCAATTCGTGATGGCACTCAGCCAAATACTCGAGAGTTTGCTGGGAGGACGGGAGCCGCACTTGCGACCTAGGCTGTGGACCAGTGGCTACAGGAAAACGCCAGTGCAGACGCTGCGACCCCTTTGCCATGAAACTGTCGCAAAAAAGGAGACTGCAGCCAACGGAATGCATGTCTATATCTCTGTACATATATATATATATACATATATATATATACACAAATACTGTATACACAATCAATGTGTATGTATGTATGTATATATATATATATATATATATATATATTATACATATACATACATACACATACATATGGTCACGCACTGTCCAGCCACCCCCCCTCCCATGTCCAGGATGCCCCTCCTCTTGCTGTGGGGGTCCCTCTTCCACTGTGGGGTTGTTGGGATTTTGGGGTTAAGGGTTTAGCTTAAGCTTGTGAGGTTTGGGTCTAGGGTTTAGGGTTGAAAAGCATAAGGCTTCGAGTCGACAAGGGCTCAGGGAGGGTTTTCGATTGAGGCCTTACAGTAGAGCCTGCATTTACGCGGGGTTTAGGGTTGGGTGTAGGCTTTACAGTACAGGTTCAAGTTAATAAAAGCAGGGGAACGCGCTACGTTGTGGGGTTTATGGCTTGCGTAGGGTTCGCGTGAGATCAGCTGATAGAGCTCAGCTGTAGATCCAACGGCCCCGACACCTCTCCGCACATGCCAGCGTCCCCCCGGCCGGGAATGCCAGACGCCTCACCATACGTATCTTTGTGTATGCGCGTGTGCATACATTGGTTTTCGCTTCTGTCACACACTGGCCACGATCATCACGCGGGTGCACCTTTGCATACCTCGCCGATTGCCAGTGCCAAGTCGGATCAAAAGGCTTTTGCAGAGTCTCTCAGAGCTTTGAGAGCCAAGCCATGGCTGCGCTTGGAGAGGCGCAGCAACGTCCGTGCGTGCGTGCGTCTGCTGTCCTGGTCCTTGGCACCGACCAGTGCCCCACGCAGGTGCTGCCAGGCACCCTGACGAGGACCGCCGCAGCTTATTTTTTCGGGAGTCCTGCGTTTCGCTGTGCTGATATCTTGGGTGCACGGAGGCCTGAAATCTCCAAGTGGACCGTTCATCCAGCCGCAGTGACGCTGGCACCGGGGGATGACGCAATCAGGCCGGCGCCGTGCGCCGGTGCTTGCGAGGGTGATACAGCGATGACTGCTGCAGGCGGCCAGTCGGCGCTTCCAGTTTAACAAACCTGAAAACTGGCTGTCTTTGCCTCGGCATGTTTCATCCATCTGCCGTGTAGCATTCCGTATACGGAGATGTCACCTCAGCCTGGAAACCTAGTGGCGATTGCGGTGCCGTTGGCCGCAGCTGCTGTGCGGAAAAGGCCAAACAGAGAGAACGTTCGTTTCGCCTTTGAGTACGACAGTTTGAGTCAAGCAGCATGTCAATGTGCAGGCCCCAGGGACGCAAAGCGCGACCCATGTTGGCCATGACCAAGACCTCGGTAAGCAATGACACTGTGAAAGGTGCAGCGAAAGCCGCAGCCTCGGAGTGCTGAAGCCATGGAGCATGATTCCATGATGTCCATTGTCAGGTCTGCTCCGAATGTGGCTACGTTTTCGTTGAGGATGATGCGTTGTTCTGCCGCTCGTCGGACAGACTTCTGTGCCTCAGCAGAAGAGGGCCGAGCAAAAGCTGATGCCAAGGCCCAAAGTGTGGGACTCCTCGAACCGGAACTCTGGGGGTGGGATCCAAAAAGGCCGGTGAACCCGGTGATGTGCTGTGGGCCTTTGAGCCGCCGCTAGGGGCCGCCCTTTCTCCTCCTGTGATGCTTAGGCCGCACCCAAGGCCGAGGAGCCCAAGAAAGGCTACTTCCCACCGCAGCCCACACCACTGCGGCTTGCCTTTCCTCTCCTTTCTGCCTTTCCTGGCTTTTCTTGCCTTCTGAAGTTTCTCTAAGATCTTCGCGAGTTTTCGAGGCTGGACTCTCTTGGAGACGAGGGCACCCAGCGGCCAGCCTCCCAGCCTCCCAGCCTCCCAGCCTGCCAGCCTGCCAGCACTGCAAGCTAGACATCATGAGGATCCGGAGCATGAGCGTGCCGGAGCTCAAGCAGCTTGCCGACGAAGTTCGGTGGCAGGCTCGCGCCTTCTCACAGCACCGCTTCCTTCTGGTCTGGAGCCAAAGCGGCAAGTGACAGGTGCTGGATGCCGTCTCGGTCACGGGAGGACATCTCGGCAGCTGGCCTCAGTTGCAGTTCGGACTCGGTCCCTTTCTTGGCGGAGGGCGGAGGATTGAGTCACTGAGGTGCCGGCCTGGGCGTGGTTGAGCTGACCGTAGCACTTCACCACGTTTTTGACACCCCACGTGACGAAATCTGCCCGTTGCCCAGAAAAGGGGGCAGCTCGTGATGTGCAGCGGCGCAGCGAAGCGAAGCGTCATCGCCCAGGCTGGGATGTCGCCCATCAATGCCAACCTCACAAAGCGCCTCTCCCGGACCTCTGGCTCGGCAACATTCGGTCCCAAGCCTTCCGGTGTTCCGACGAGCGCATGTTTGGTGCAGCGGAGTGTATCGCCTCGCCCAAGAACCTAGCGGCCGAGCGGGTGATGTGCCAGAAAACAGACGAAAATTTACGAGCTCATTCTAAGCAAGACACCGATGAACTCACAAGAGGATCTCTGACGGTCGCTTGCCTGAGTTCCGAGCTGCAAGCGGACATGGTAGCGGGTCTTTGAACCTTTGCCGCCGGGTTGTCTGAGATGATGGGGGGGAGGGCTCCGGACCGGGACATCAATTTGCACACCCATGCATGCATCCATGGCATCCATGCACTCATGACATCGGTGATCAATCCACAGCCGGGTCAAATGACCCTGTTGCGAGATGAGGACAAAGAAAGAACGAAGCATCTAGGCCCATATGCACGTAGGCTCCAAAGTCTTGAATTGCTACAACACTGTTGAGCCTGCAGAGGGTTTTCCCGACACTTCGTTGGAACATGTATGCAAACTTGTCGCACGAAAGCGGCTGACTAAGGTGTTGACAGGGCGGCGATCGCGCATCTACACACTGCGTCGGACGCTCACTATCATTTTGAAGTTCTCGGGCTTGGAGAGAAAATGGCCGTGAAAAGAGATTGCGGTCATGAGGCCAGGGGGGTGGCCTATCGGGATTCGCAAAGAGGAAAGAGTCTGGAGCCCGGCTTCGTCGTGGGAAATTTTGGGCTCACTTCGTTGGCGCGGCCAGGTCCATCTACGATGCTTTTGGTGCCGGCCATTCTTCTACATCCATCAGCATAGGGCTGAATCGACTGCGAGCGGGAGATGTCAGTTTTGGATAACAGCATTCTGCTGCTTCCCTCAGGTGCCGCGGTCGGCTTTCAAACTGCTAAAGATCGGCTGGGTAGGCGGGTCATTTCCCAGCTCAAAGCCTGCACGCAACGCTGGAAACTCCTCTGTCGAGGTCTGGCCACAGCATTGCTGTAATCGGAGATGGAGCCATCACCGGTGGCATGGCTTGGGAGGCCATGAACCACGCCAGAGCCTCGTTGGGTGCAACTGTAGCCGGAAGCTTTAGCAGACTCAGAGTCTGCAGGGGCAGCAAGTCAGATCGTGTGATCAGGCGGGTGGCATGGGCTCCAAGATGGCGATTGGCTCAGATGTGATGAAGTGCAGTGAGTTCATATCTAGAGCCTCGCTTAGGTTGTGATCCTGAACGACAACGGACAGGTGTCTCTGTGGGAGCCCTGGATGACTAGTTTTGGGCGTCAGAAGCTCAAGCCGCTTCTCAGCGCTTCGCAGGCCGACGTTCTACAACAAGGCCTCCGACCTCCCTTCAACCATGGCGATTCCCTGGTGCTGCGAGCAGAGCAGGTGAAGCAGCCCGTGGGGGCGCTCTCAGAAACCTTGGCCGGCACGCAAGGTCCGGCAAAAGAAGAGGAAGGGGAGGAAAGATTGGAGCTTTCCGCTTCCGTTGTTGTTGCCTAGGCCTCTCCATTCAGGGCGACATCGCGAAGTTTGAGACCTCCTCGGCTTTCCAGAACGCGAGACAGTCCCTGCCTCGGTAGCACGTAGCACGTGATGGAGAGCCCAGCTCTTGGCGGTTGCCGAAGCCAGGTTTGCCAAGAACGCAACGAAGCAGCTTCTTCCCGGACAGCTTTCTGCTGCCGCCGCGAAGCTGGACGAGTGCCCTTCCTGCTGTTCGGACGGATGTTCGGCATACGTAGCAGCTTCTTACATTTAACGCAGCATGATGCTTCCGACTCAGATGGAATGACATCAACCTCTCACTTGCTGGCTCGGTTGAAGTTCCTCTCCTCGTGCCACTGTCTTGTCACAAGTAGGATAAAGCCAAAAAGAAGCTCCCGATGCAGATGTTCTGGCTGCTAAAATAGCTTCCGCCTTCGGGGACGAGGAGTCTTGCAAAACAAAGCGACAGGGCTCTGTGGTGAGCAGAGGCACAGTTTTGGTATGGCCTTCAAAGTGTTAAGATTGCTTGAGAAAAGGCCCTTGGACGACGAGCATTGAGATAGCCATAACGAGCATGAAGTGCAGGTGGCCAAAGCGGCAGACAGCAACTCTCAGCAACATGTGGGCATGCGGGCATGTGAGTGGTTTCAGGAAGTGCGGTAACACTCCTTCTTCGTCCCTGGTTGTCCAGTTGTTGATGCCCCAGGTACACGCGCGACTTTGTCAAGACTGTGCCCTTCCGCGGAAGTGGTTCGGGAAGCCGGCGACCTGTCGTCTTGAAAATTCAGACGCTGTAGCAATGCATGTTTGCCACCTGAGGTAAGGGAGAGCTTTTTGAGCAGCTTGGGTTCTACTACGTCGGGAGCTGAGTTTGCGCTCGCCCGACCAGGATCGTTCTTTCTCTCACCTGGCCTAAGGTGGGGCCCATTGATGGGCACGACATGGACACGCTGGTGGAGGCTTCTGCGCAGCAGAGAGAGTTACCATCTTAACCCTGCGGCCGGGCAGGTTCTCACGAACATTCGCAAAGACCACGAAGATGGCACCTTGCAGAAGCCTGTGTTCCTCCACATCAAGACTGCCCCTGCTGCTTCTGCTGCGGGCTGCTTTCTTCTTTTGGGTCTGGAGCGAAACCTAGATGTCGCCAGGACAAAGAAGGGCAATGGCTACGAGCCAGCCCAGAAGGCATCTTCACTCTGAGAAGACTCGGGATCGCGAAAGCTGAATTGAACGTGTAGGCCAGCGACAAGCTGCATGCGGTTCAGCCGAAGTTCAACGTGGCCCAACTGCAAGATCAACTTGGCATTGAGTTTGTTGAGTTTCACTGTCTGACTCATCTCCGTCTCCTCCTTGAGGTGCCAAAAGGTGCCAGTGATAAGCCTCCAGCGCAAGCTGCCTAGAGCCATGGGCCACAAGGCCGAGACGTGTCGGTACGTGTCCCCCGAAGGCCAAAGCCTCCGCCGTTCACGAAGATTTTCGGGGATGCACTGGTGCGGGAGGGCGAGCTTGGATCTCAAAAGACCGTGCGAAGACATAAAACCTGGACGCAGCCGCTGCCCAGGCGCGACGACAAGGTCGTCGCGATTACAGCCGCGATGCCACTCTCTTGAGATGTATCCGAAGCGAAGTTCTCTGCAGTCACGGGTTCTTGGCTTCGTCCAGGCCCGGTGGGACAGGCATCGGCATCTTCGAGAAGAGGTTTGGCCCAGCCGCGAACCTCAGACCTCTGCCTCCGGGCTTTGCAAACTTTGGCTAGGATGTTGCAGGTATGGGTGTATGTCTCCCTGCGTCTCCCTCCTCTGTTCGAGCTCCCTCGCTTCAGGAGCGAACCTTCGATGTGGGCATCGCGGAACAGCATGTCCCGGGCTAAGCCACCAGTGTATACGTCGCTGCAGAGGCCTCTTGCCGCCACCATCCGCCACCCATTTTCGAAGGCGACCATGCAAAGGACGAGTGGAGAACACTCCCGAACGCCTTGCTCATGACCAGCATGCATAAATGCCCTCAACAATGGTGTGGGAAGGCAGACCAGATCATGATTGAGCACTCCAGTCGCAGCGACCACGAACAAGAGACTTCCTGCATGTCGAGTGGATTCAGAAACAGGTTGGTCCACGCGCGATGGTGTGGGAAAACAGGGCATGACCAAAACCTCCTGGTAGTGGCATCCGGAGCACGGCAAGGCCACATAGCAGCCGCCCCCAAGCAAGGCTGTCGCAACACAAGCTTTTGGAGAACAGGGCCGCGCAACAAAGGCATGATGCGTAGCCACACAGGTCCGTCGTGACGTAGGGCCAAAAAGTTGCCAACAACTGTTTAGGCAGAGCTTCGGCGGTCTAGGCTGCAATGTTGATTGGGGATTAAGCGACTGCTGTCAATCCGTTGCCATTCGGTGCAAACAGGTCTCCGAATTCCTGCACAGTTGTTATCTGACAAGAAGAGCTGATACACCGTGAGCACTGGAGTCCTTGCACGTGTCCACCAGACCCATTCCCGCGGGTTAGGCACACGGACAGAAGGGAGGAAAGCCCACCTGCAAATGAGTGACAAGAACAGGCGGTGACCTTTGCGGCCGGGATGGCAGCAGGTGGTTGGGGGCCTCAGGTGCCGGCAGCTTCGCGAGCTCAGGGCCATAGCGGACCCTGATAAGTTATCAAGGATGTGCACAGTGTTCACGTCCAGACGACGAGGCCTGAAGCCGTTCTGTGCTATCTACTCCACGCCGAGCCGGCACGTTCAGCGCTGCCCTGTTTCTGCAGGCTTTTAGGATTTTAGGAGACTCAGGAGACGTGTGTCTTGAATTCAACTACCTCTCATTGCAGGTTCCTGCAGCGAGGCTATGACCAGCTGGTGCATGCCTGCGGCTCGGAAACATGGGGTGTACCCCAACCCGTGGAGCCAGCACCATCCGTCCCGAAGCTGCCTGGAGTTGGAGACCAGGATGTGGCGCTTCAGAAACTGCCAGTTCGATTCATCTTGGATCGAGCTGGCCTTGTAGGGGCAGCCATCACCTCAGCTTCATGCACAAGCCTCCCAAGCTACAGACCCCGTATCATAATTCAACCCGGTGTCTGCCATGCTTGTTTTGAGGATGGAGCCACCCACAGTGGCTGCTTTGATCTTTCCTACATGGGCACGGGGCTGACTTTGCACCTTGCTACTCGTAGCTCGAGCTCAAGGCTGTCCGTTAGCAGATGCACGATGCCAGCAAGGCTGCATTCCCGACATGATGATATGCGCGTCGGCTGATGAGGTGGCTCCGGCATGCACTGGACGTTTCCATAGCGTGCCGCTCCTCTATTGTGTGTACTGTAGGCAGAGCTGGTCAACATGATCCACACTCTGGCGAAAATCGATGATCAGCCAACAGCGCTGCGGTCGGAATCCTTTCTCATACTTTCTCATGTGTTTTTTCAGTACGCATGGCTATGCATGTGCTGCGCAGCGAGGTTTCCCCGCGGTAGCTGCTATGGCGACCTGGTAATGCCAGCAGAACCTCGCTTCCTGGAGCCTGGAAGGGGGTGGGGGCCTCGCAGCAGCGCAGCAGAGCGCAGCAGAGCGCAGCAGAGCGCAGCAGAGCATTGAAGCAGCGCGTGGAAGGTTTTGCCGCATGTTTCTCGACATGGTTTCCTGCCGAGGCGCATCTGTCGTGAGGGTCGTGATGGCAAGCTGGCCATCCTTTCCATCGGCGGACGGTTGCGCGAGTGCCTGAAGGCTTGCGACCTCTGCTTTGAAAGTTGCTTCGTGTTGCAAGTACGTCGCTGGAGAGGCTGCCGATGAGCTTGAGGAAAAGTACGGCGTGTCCGTGACCGTCGCAGATGCTCGCCCGGAGCCCGAGCTTGCAGAGAGGCGAGAGGATGCGCCGCAGTTTGCCGGAAGTGACCTCTTGCGGAGGTTGGATGAAGCCGCTGGACACGAATCTCGTCGGCCGTTTGGCCGAGGATCATCGTGCCCTCATCACCATCGAGGACGTCACAAGAACACGCCATGCTGGCAGTCAGGGTGATCCAAAGCTCGGTCTTACTTGCCGTGCTTCTTCTAGGAGAACGCGATTGGCGGCTTCTCTGCTCAAGTCCAGCAGGTGCCACAGCTGACAGTGAAGCATCTGCAGTGCTTCTTGCGCATGGTGGTAGTACTACAACGTAACTACAGTTGTGCTATAGCACTCCTGTTGTATTCTGTTACCATAGTGACAATGCCAAGAACAGTGCCTTATTTATCATGGCTTTATCATGATTTCACGATTCCAAATAGTCTGTGATCCTGACAGGCTCTCCTGGAAGGCGGGTACTTGGATGGCCTGGGCAAGACGCCGGTGGCACTTCGAAGCATGGTCTTGCCGGTCCGGTCCTCGGAGTTTAGGGGCAAAGCATCACTGGATAAATGCACAAGGTACAAGGCTAAGGGTTACTGCGAGGGTCACCGTATGGCTATAAGTTAGGCTATAAGGGTTGACTCCATAGGGACCCTGATCGATGAAAGTATTTTCGGAGCGCCTTTGGGCCCGGACTGAGTTTAAAACGGCCTAGGCTGCAGCACACTTATGGCCTAGCAGGGGGGGCCCTGAGGTCGCCTCAAAGTAAAGGGTCAGGGACTGTCCCAGCATCGGAAACCCTAGGATTGTAAGAGCGAGTGTGTACCAGAACGTGTGAGCTGAGTTCTTTTCCCTCTCTGGTCCTCAGAGATATTCTGTTGGGACTGCAGGAAACGCAGCCAGCAGGGGTCGCAGGAACGCGGGACTAAGTCGGACTGCAGGCTACAGCAACCACAGGAACGTGCGATTGACGGGGGTCGACGGCCTTCCAACAGAAGGATTTCGAACAAAGTGCAGCAATGGGAGCAGTCGAAGTAAAGTCCCCTGACCGTTTTTTCGGAAAATGGTATATTTGGGGGTAGCGTTTAGTTGTGGGGGGAAACGAGTGCTAGACCATAACGGTTACTCAGAGAAGTGTAGGGGCACTCTTGGGCTCTGTCTGCAGGACAGGTGGATTGACCACAACGCTCCCGAGCTTCAGTACGCACCGGCCTCGCATGGTTTTATTTTTCCAGGAGTCTCATTTCGTGGCATCTGCATAATGCTCCAAGGATGATGCGAAGCTTAATGCGCAGCACATACTCCAGAAGGCCTCTAGCCTCTTGCCTTGTTCTCTTGCGTGTGAAAACGGCAGATCCTGGGCAGAGCCAGGCCCTTGCGCTTTTAAGCCGCGTGGGTGTCAAGGCGGCTGCCTGCGAAGTGTAGGCTTTAGGGTTTCAGGTTTAGACTTCGAATAATATGGAGACTCTTTGGAGACTGGGCAGGTGGATGCAAAGATTGCAGGCTGATGAAGCGATTACCAGGGCACCCCGTGCCGTCAATTTTCACCTGAAAGTTGCACGATCTTAATTTACAATCTGCTCTGCCAGCAGATCACAGTCTCATCCGCAAACATCGCGTTTTTCCGGAGCCTCGTGGCACACATGGCACATCTGTGAAGCTGTCCGGCTTCAGAAGTCTTGAGTTTGATAGGAGGGCGATTAGTCTTGTGGCTTCAGCAGCAAAGCTGCTCCCCGAGTCGAATGAAGCTCGGCTCACTGTCGTGGCAAACATGCCCGACCCATCCCATGTTTTCAGTCAGAAAATTTTACATCGCAAAGCATGCAGTTACCTGCGAACATAGCTTCGTCATTCGTGAATCGTTGCTGGAGCTGTTGATGCTGATGCTAGTTACAGGCGTTCAAGAAAAAGTGGGACACAATCTGCAGCATGATGAGTGGCACCGCTGAAGAGCACAGAGAGTGCACGCATGTTAATTTCCCTGGGCCCTTGAACTTGCACTTCAGGGTACACCTAAGCTTGGAAGAAGAAGAGGAGGAGTCAGGTACTTGTAGCTTTGGAGGAAGGTTTTGTGCGCATCGAAACGCGAGAGAGAGAGAGAGAGACTGGCCCCGGCCCCAGCTCCTACGGTCTTACAGTGCCGACAGTAGGGGGGTTTGAAGCTTAGCCCTCGAGGCGGGTTGGGGTTTAGTGTTACCGGGGGTGAAACGGCCGGCCTGTGAGCAATCTAGGGGGAGCGTTTCTTTCAGTCAGCACGTAATTCCCCGGTGCGCGAAATCGCGCGAGGGGGGAGCGTACGCGACGCCCCTCTGGCCGAGTTGAAGAAGAGAGAGAGAGAGAGACAGACAAAGAGAGACAAAGAGAGAGAGTGAGAGAGAGAGAGAGCCCCATGACGAGTTGCTAATTTTCTGTAGTCTCTACTTTCATCATCGGGGGAGTCGGCATATGCTGTATGTCCTTAAAAGAACGGGGGAACATTGTCTTCGACATCGTATACTTTATGGCTGTAGCCCGACAAATGTTCGCCGTTCTCATTTCACCCCCCGTGTCCGTCAACACGACGGGTGGGCATGATCCCCGGGGGCGTTGATCCGCCCCTATGCCCGGGAGAGAGAGAGAGAGAGAGAGAGAGAGAGAATGAAGCCGAAGCCGAAGAGAGAGAGAATCTTGATTTGGAGCCTGGGGGCGACGTAAGCAAGCCTTCTCTTTTCCCTCGTAGAGCCGAGCCTCTTTCCGTGAAACCGAAAGCGGCGCAAAGGACTACCCGTGAAACCGCGGGTGTGCGTGCGCGCACAGGGGAGGTGGCCCGGACACTGCTATCGACCCCACTCCCCGTCGAGAGAGAGAGAGGGAGACAGACAGCCCACCCTGTCAAAAGGGACTGCCTGTCTCCCACGCCCCAGAGCAAAGCAAAGCAAAGCAAAGACCCAGAGAGAGAGAGACAGAGAAAGAGCTCCTAGGCGCGGGCTCCGCTGGCCCAACACCTGCGAAGCGAAGCGAAAAGAGAGCGAGAGACGCTGGGTGCGGAGATGAGGCCGGGACGCGGGCTAGTGTACAGGGTTGGGGGGATATTGCACCGTACGCACTCCACCAGTTGCAGGGAAAACCTCCAACACAGATCCCAATGCCTCCTTCCACCAACAAGGCAGGAAGGGGGGGGCCTTGGCCCGGGTCTGCTCGCAGACTCTTCCCCGGCAGCGAGCGAGCGAGCGAGACACTGTGCCAGCAAGCAAGCAAGCAAGAGAGCGAGAGAGAGAGAGAGAGCGCGAGAGAGAAAGGCCTTGCAAACCACGAGAAGCAAACAGGTCATTAGCTGTTGCCGTGTAACTGCAGGAACACAGAACAGACGAAGAATCAGACATGCAGCACGAGGGCACAGAAAAATGGTAGGATCCGGCTAGCCTTTTCTGAGCAACAGATAACTAACCGAAAGGGAGGAGAGCGAGTCCGGCCAAACAAGAGGAGAACTGTGAACAGGAGGCAGGCAGAAAGGTGCAGATGCAGCAAACTTTGTCCGTAGCATCAGCAACGCAAGCCGCCGGCCGCTTCCTAGCCGCTGATTTCACAGAAGAGCCGAGGAGGACATATTGTTTGGAAGGTCGGCCAGGCAGGATGAATCTGCTGGAAGGAGGGTCTGCTGACAGATAGTTGTTACCTTCCGCTGAAGGCCATGCTCGCCTTTCTGGGCAGCTCGCCGGCCAGTGCACCCACTGCGAGGCTACTGCAGAGTTGGCAATCGTGAAGCGATGCGACGAGTGTCAGAGTAATTGCGTCGTTAGAGAGTGTCCATGCTTTTGTGGCAGGGATTTTTCCTCAAGCTAAACAGAGGTCCACACTGTCTGGGAGGGTTCGAGTGGCAGACGCACTTCGAGGTTTCATGCTGTCTGGATCTTAACAATGTCAAGCGGGACCAACAGGTGAACCTGTTGACACCGGTACTAGAATCGAAAATCAAAGAACGTCGGAATCGTTCTCGCATCCCTTTCTCGATGCGAAGAATCTCGTGCCCTGCAAAGATCAGCAAGGATCGGACCACGTTATCGTCGCTCTCCTTCATCAGTTTTGTCGCTCGTGACCCCGTGCCTGCTTTAATGACCTCGCAAGTCGCCCTTTTGTCTGAAAGAGTTGTTGCCGGTCATGTGAGAGTATCCGAGCATGCATCTCTCTCGAGCTCTCTCGTTTACAGGGTTTCCGTTGATGTCCAGTTGTCAATCTTCGGCAGCAAGTCTTGTCAACATTGTGCGGGCTCCGTAGTTGTCTCGTTTCAATCCGTTGTGCCCGGCCTGACTTGGAAATGTGGACGTTGTATGCATGTTTTGGAGTTGCAGGGAATGGTGCATACGTGATTCTTTAGCATCTCTTCCCTAAATCAACTCAAGCCTGTGCTCCAAATCTTCTCCCGCCCATCCCTCCCACAGAGTCCGAGTGTGTCCTGACACACCACGAGTGAAGTTCCTTGATCTTTTCTGCCAGGGTTCTCAAGAACTGTCAAGGCCCCGGCCGATAAGAGACCCAGGCTACTTCGCGATGAGTGCGGGGAGTTCGCGATGCCTGTTGACGCAGTCAGGGGTAGAAAGTTGTTCCGCCTCAGACTGCTCAGAATCATTCCTGACCAAAGCATTGAAGCCCCGCTGTGAAATCATGAGGTCTGTGAGGGACAGATATGGATGATCAAAGATGATATTGATCACCTCTTGCGTTTTGCTCTGCTGAGAGGTCCATGTGTGCAAAAAACCCGTTCCCTGCCTCTAGCCGTACCAATCTGCTGAAGCTGCAAGCAGCCGAGTTTGCGGGCCAGTCAGATGGATGATTGCATTCAAACGCACACACATACATGCATATAGACTACAGCCCTACAGACATCGTGGCCTGGAGATTCATCTGCCGAGTGCGTGCTGAAGAACAAAGATGGGGTTTGAAAGACTGGCCTGACTGGACACGCGTGAAGTCTTCGGCACATCTGCATCTGCTGAGTTTGTGATCATGTCACCTGCTCAGTGCGCGGCTGTCGGCATCGCTCGTGTCTGGAGAAGCTTCGGCCACTCCCCGAACTCTGTGGAGCCCATCGACTTTTTGTTGTGCAGCTGAAGCTGAAGCTGGACTCCTCTGAGGTCCCGCCTGGCCGAACTCCGAAACGCAGGCAAAGTCTCGTCGCTGGCAGTCTTTTTGACTTTTGCCAGCAGCGATCCCTTGAGGCACGGGGAGAGTATGGGCAAGGCTGCCGCAACGGTGCTCGCCGTGTCTGCCCTTGCCAGAACCAGGCCCGAACTTGGCAAAACAGGCGTTTCGGCGATTGTGCGAAGCCTGTGGCCAGGCCCACGTCCAAGCATCTGGGATTAAGATGTCCGAGGAGCTCTCTACACGGTGACTCGGCTTCGCCTGTGACTCTGTGCACATTTCAACTCACATCGAAAATGCCAGGTAGCCCCGTGCAGCTGCGCGCTACAGAGGCGGGAGGGGTTCTCATCCTCCGCCTCCCAGCGTCTTTGCAAAGCTGGCGCCGACCTCGAAGGCCGCAGCGTCAGAATCGAAGATCCGTGTTCGATTCGCCCCGAGCCCGACTGGAGTGTGCGCCCTCTGCTTGAGCTTTGCAGTGACCTGCCTTGATTTGATGCTTCTTGCGGTTGTTATGGTAAGAGTCTTACGGTCATTGCTTCTTTCTCCAGGCAACATCGCCAGTCCCATCAGGTTAATGGATAAATGTAGGGACAAAGTATGCCACAGTTGCCAATGCTTCCGCGTCCAAGTGCAAGCAAGTGCTTTTGATCTTACTCTTGTCCCTTACTCTTGCGTGACTTGCCAGTTGCCGCTGATAGCATTGCTATGGATCCTGGCTGTGTGCACTATGATCATGGTGATTGCCACTACGGTTATCAGTCATCATTCCTAGGAATTCTGCTTCTGCTATCAACGGCGACTACGACAAGGAAAGCAACGATGATGGCTATGACGACGACCATCAGCAAGCACCACAGCCACCAGTGCCCTCGGCGGTGCTGCCACCCAGCACAACCAGCACCATCAGCACTAACCAGCATCACCAGCACCCGCCAGCATCACCAGCGTGTGCAGCAAGCGTCTTGTGTCAGGCTGGTCGTCCTGCTGGCTGTAAGTACATGGGAGTCATGTGTAGAGCCTCTTGCTTCTTCAACATCTATTCAAGATTTGGTTCATTCGCGAGAGTCCCGGTATCCGTGTTCGAACTGGAAGCAAGAAGCCTCACAGAACTTGAGTCAATTAAGAGAAGTGGTTTGACGCCATGCTGTGCGGCCCAGCCTGGTTGGACGTTTGTCGACCGGGCAGGCAAGGTCCAAGACAGTTGCGTGTTCGACAGATTTCGACAGTACGTTCCGACCGTGCTTTCGGCTTTGTATCGTGGTCCTTGAGCACTGCAGGCTCAGCACCGCGAAGTCTGGTGCTGGTGCCGGGGCTCTTACGATGCTTCGCATGCAGCTTCTTCCAACGAGCTCGCAACTGTCTGCAAGGGTGTGCGGTTCTGCAGTGCAGAGCAGAAGCTCGGGTTTCTGGTGGCTGCAGTGGCTCAAACCTTGTGAGCCTAGACAACAGCAAATTTCGTGTCCTTTCCGGACACTTCCATTTCCGAGATCGAAAGCAGGTAGTGATCTAGTTGCAGCAATGGCGTCCAGACTTGTGTGCCTTTTGCCGCTGATCTCCAACACGCTCGGTGCTGAAGTCAGAACGCATCATCCTCTCAGAGAGAAGTTTGATGGCTTTCGTCAACAGTACGGCCGAACATACCAGGAAGGCACAGAAGAGTACGAGAAGCGGTTTGCATTGTACCGCAACGCAGCTCTCCTTGCTGAGCGTTTCAACAGTCGCCCAGGGCGTTTGTGGACCGCCGGAACGGGACCCTTGGCCGATCGCAGCGAAGAGGAGCCTGGGCGCTTCTTAATGGGTTTTCAATCTAAGTTACCATCCTAAGGAAAGCATACATACTATTGGAGGGGGGTTTTCTTTGGTTTCATTTAAGTTACCATCATAAGGAAGCCACGTGATTTTCTATAGATCCCTGTTGGAAACGCAGGAGCTCCAGTCTCTCCGGGGCTGGTTTGGAAGTGCCCGAGGCTCGGGTCGCAAGGCCCGTGGCAACCTTCGCATGGCATCTCTAGCACAGCTTGGATCGAAAGACACACCTCAGGAGTTCCTGAATTGGACCTCTCTCTCCTCGCTCGAAAGCGTTCGCGATCAGGGAGGCTGTGGCAGTTGCTGGGCGGTGACGGCAAGTACGGTCTTGGACAGCCACGCAGAGATCTACAAGTCCAAGCAGAGGAGCTTCTCAGCTCAGGAGCTGGTTTCCTGCGTTGCCAACCCCAAGAAGTGCGGAGGCTCAGGTGCCTGCAGCGGAGCCACCGTTGAGTTGGCCTTCCAGTACGCCATGGACCATCCTGTGCAGACAGCTGCAGACGTCCCTTACGAGGCAGTCGACGGGCATTGCCAGGGTGCTTCTGCCTCTTTCTTGCAGGGCGACTCCATGGGTGACACAGATTTGGATGTAGCTGCAGTCGGCTTCCATGCCGCAAGCTCTGATGCTCCGGGTCTCAAGTTCATGAACGGTTGGGAGCGGCTGAAGGAGAACGGCTACACAGAGCTGCTGCGCGCAATAAGCGAGCGCGGCCCCGTCGCCGTCTCCGTGGATGCCACGACCTGGAGCTCGTACATGTACGGCATCTTCGACTCCTGCGAGAAGGACGCGGTCATCAACCACGCAGTTACACTCGTGGGCTACGGCGTGGAGAAGAGCAACGGCAAGATGTACTGGACCATTCAGAATTCCTGGGGGCCAAATTGGGGCGAGGATGGCAAGATCCGGCTCTTGAGACGGGAGGACGAGGAGAGCTACTGCGGTATTGATCATCAGCCCGAAGAAGGGACCGGATGTGAAGGCGGACCCAAGCAGGTGAAGGTCTGCGGAACGTGCGGCATCTTGTACGACAACGTGGTGCCACACTTCAAGAATGGTGAGCCGGATGATTGAGCCATCGGTAAACATCCGTAATTACTTTTGTGTGCTACAATGCTGCACTCGGCAACGAGCTGTGAAGGACTGGCTGACCCCGTCTCTGCGTTTGAATGCAAAAGATGCAAAAAGCGCGGATGCACGCTGCGATCGGAGCGACGGTTATTCGGACTGTGAGGGTTTGTCCTGCTGTTCCTGAGGCGGGAGGAGACGCCCAAAGAGGTGCACTTCTGTAGTCCATGGCTAATATCACCTGCTACCTGTCATGCTAGACCTGCCGTGTCTGCTTGTCTGCAGGCCTCCAAGGGCCGAGGCAGACATGCCCGAGATGGATGTAGAGGAGGTGGATGGTTTCGACGACGTCTCCGACGATGAAGGGCTCGCTTGGGCGGCTGGAACCCAAGAAACGACATCCTGGATCCGAGCAGAGGTGACGATACCCGAAGGTTGCGAGGAAGGCGACGTGTTTGAGGTTTTGCTGGACGACATTCCGTTCGAGGTCACCGTGCCGAAAGGCAAGAAGCCGAATGACCTGCTTCAGCTCGAGGTGCCTGCAGACGAGTTGAAGAAGTCCCCAGACCCACCCGAACCATCAGAGCCGCCCGAGCTTTCAGACCCACAAGAGTCTGAAGAGGGTGGGCAAGGCGGGCTTCAAGATGAGAAGGAGCATCGGCACGTGAGCTTCACGGATGAAGAACCTGCGGTCGTTCTTTTTCGGCCAGAAGTTGGCGGCTTGCAAGGCCCCGAACAAACATCGAGAGAGGAGCAAGGACAGCAAGGGGATTGTGACAGGGTGGAGCTGACGGTCCCATCCCAGTGCCGGCCTGGGGATGTCTTGACCGTACGCACCGGCCATTCGCAGATGGAGCTCACAGTGCCCGAGGGCTGCAGGCCGGGTGACGTCTTGGAGGTGAATCTGCCGGAAGGGACAGGAGGGAGCCTGGCGGAGGGGAGCCTGGCGGAAGAGAGTCCCGAGCAGAGTGTGGAGGAGGACGAGGAGGAGCCCCCGCCAACCGAAGCGCCCATCGTCCTCGCACTGCTCGATGGCAAGGCTGAGGAAGAGCCCATCGTCCTCCAGCCAGAGAACGCCGAAGCCAAACAGGCCGAGCAGGCTGAAGCTGAAGAAGCTGAAAACGTGGCAGGCGAGGGTTTGGGGACTTCTGAGGAACCAGAAGCCGAGCTTTCCCATGCACCAACCGAGCTGCAAAGCGAGCCTGAACTGGAAGGGCGCCCAGAACCTCTGCAGCCTGAGCCAGAGCTCATGGAAGCGACACCTGAATCGTGTCAGGAGGGGCCGGATCCAGAAACAGAAACCTTGTCTGCAAAAGTGACGGAGCTTGAGGCTCGCAACGCAGAGCTGCAGGAAACCATATTCAAACTGGAGCGCGAGAAGAAGTTCCTGTCGAGCTCGCTTACAGCGTCGTTGACTACATCTTACGCAAAAAGCCAGGTCTACCTGGGCAAGCACGCGAAGGAAGAAGCCAATAGGCGCAGGCAACCAGCCAGTGAACAGAAGCAGGCCCGGGAATCCGATACAGGTTGTGCTTCTGTCGATGAGCAAGCGAAGTGGAAGCTTAGGCCCATGTCCAGACGGAGTGCCCGGCCTCAGTGGCATGTCTCAGCGGCTCTGCATAGTCATAGTCGTTACCCTTGTTGCTAGCTAAGGCCAGCCGGTCAAGCTTGGGGAGGCATGCAGGCACCGAGCCGTGCACTGCACCTGTGTACCCAATTCTGGCTTGTAGCACTTCGAGCATTAGCTGGCAGAAGGCCATGGGAGACCTCGGCCGGATGCTTAGCGAATTCCGTGTATATTAGCTCAGTCTTGCAAGCTCGTATCGACCTTCGTGCCTCAGCCCTCAGCAACTCAAAAAGATGCTGCTACAACTGCTACGATGTCAATTCGGACCGGATCGTCCAACGGCATACCGAGAGAAAGCTTGGGGGGCAGAAGATCTTGGAAGCAGAACTACTGTACGATGGAAGATTACAAACTTCCCTTCACAACAACTCTTCAAACACCACGGCGGCAACCAGCGAGGCTTGGTGTAGAGACGCTTTCAGGCACCTGGCTGCCTCCAGCAGCATGGGTGGAGCAGATCTGAAGAAGAGGGCAGTTGGTCACATGGACCCTAGTCCTGAGAACAAGTCAGGGGCCGTGAACAAAACATCGTGGAAAAGTCTGGAGCAAAGCGAAGCATCCGCCCTGAGACTGTTTTTCCTTTGGACGAGGCTTCTGTGGGAATTTTCATCGCCAAAGTATGGGGCATGATGCGAAGCGCCGCACTTCGGACTCCAATACGTGTCGTACTGATGGTGGAGGGTGGCTGAATACATGGTGCCGACCGCTGCAAAAGTTAAGGCGGCTCATTTCGTCACAGAATGATAAGTTCAATGATAACAACGTAGCATCGAAGGGTGGCCACAACTTGCTGCGGATATCTGGGATAAAGTGCTCAGCCTGCCGGGCTAGAAGCGCATCTTGCCTTGCATCCTCTGGGCCAGAAACTAAGCAGTAAGCTTGGGAGCCGAGGTTTGGCACCGAGCGCGCCGGCATTGCCAGAGCTGCCGTACAAGGCTTAGCACAGGTCCTCGTTCAGCCCTTATCACATGAAGGTCAAAGGCAAGGACTTGTAAGGCAATGGAACGCCCCCGAGGCAGACTTTGCCGAACGCGCGAGCACCACATCTGGAGGCATCTGGTGATGGGTCCCCGGGTCAGACGTACGGATTTCTGGATTCTTCACTTTGCTAGTGCATAGACTCCTGTAGGTCTGCCGTCTGTAAATGTATATGCGTCAGAAGTGTTGGGGTACTCCATCGACGACAGGACTGGGAGAAAGATGATGCTAGCATCGCAACGTTAAAGATGGCAGTGTTGACCCTCAAGCAGCAGAAGGAGTGGTGGTCAAAAGTGTAGTGTGCTCGAATCAGAATGTTCCTCTTCATCAGGAGGACTTGCGCCAGAAGCTTGCTGCAACGCAAAGAGAAAAGATTAGGCAGGAATCTCCTTGGATTTGATGCGCGGATATGTCCACGTCCGTTTTCGTGGCGGCGAGGCTGGAACTTCAGGAACGAAATTCTGTTCAGCTTGAAGCCTATGCGCATGTCGGCATCTTGGCCAGTGAGGCGGCTGTGGCGGTTTGACATTCTACCTGTTGCGTGTCCTCAGCTTGACTTTAAGGCCTTGCTATCCCTGAAGACGGAGAATGCAGAGCTCAGGGAGATAGCTTTGCAGGTCGTGCATGCAATTGTAGATACTGACTTACCTTTGTGCATCCTGTGATTCGCAACAGGTGCTGAGGGGGAAGGATGCGAGTCCGAACGAACAGAAGGCGAGGCAACAAGTGTTTTGACTGTTGTTAGCTGCCAAGCCTTCCGCGGGGCTTCGAGGTGCAGGTGCCGAGAGTCGCCGTCAAGGCCCGCAACAAGATTTCCCAGAGCAGGCAAGCGCCACTAATGTACTGGATGTGTCTGTTCACTATCATCTGTGACCAGTCGCTGCGAGGCCAAAGTCTGCGGAAGCTGCTTGCTCCTCAGTGCGAGACAGCCGTGGTTGGAGATGGTCTGGGTATGCAAGGCCAGTAAGTGGCTGAATGCCCCATCGCCCTCTACCAAGCCAAGGCGGCACAAGGCCAGAAACAGCTTTGCATCGTCTGCGACCTGCAGAAGTTGGTGTCAGTGTGTACCAGGTCCTGCCCGTAGCCATGGACGTTGAGGATCTTGAGAACGAGGATTTCGATGGCGCCAGGCAGGCAGTTGTTCTTACTTTCAGCGATGGGATACCGGTGCATGTGTGCCGCAGGAAAGTCGCGCCCGCCCCGAGCTTAAAGATTGAGCGCCCATGCGGCTCCTTTCACTGAAGCAGCTGCTGCAGGTCGCCCTGCCAGTTGGGCATGCTGGAGGTTTGTGCAGCAAAACTGACCAGACGAAGCCTCTAACGAGGGAGCTGAGACTAACGTCAGGCTTGCAGGGCGCACCCAGGCGACTTCGCAGCCAGAGTGCGGGCCCGGGCTCCGTCTCTCTCTCTCTCTCTTTCCATTTCCGTTGAGGGATTGTGTCCGTCAGACACTGTGAGTGCTCGAGGCGATGGTTGTGTGAGACTCTCCAAGCCTGCCTCGGCCACTTTCTCATCTTGTGCGGGTCTTCTCCGAGAAGTACCTGAGTTCCTTTGCAGTTTTGGAAGAGGCCCGGCCGGCCTGCAATCTGAGACTACCAGGCGCAAGGCCCGTCGGCCGCCCAGCTTCGCCGGTTATCTCTTGAACTTCCCATTCCTGCCACAGCAAAGGCCGCTTTGAGGGGAGAAGCTGGCCTTGAGGCTCTGCAAATCTCGGCACCATCAAACTCTTTTCGCGCTGATGCCCATCAACAGGTCTTGGCATCGCCGGGGGGCGCATCCAAAGTTGGATGCTCAAGAAAAGTAGCTTTGGGCACGGTTTTGCAATCAGGAAGCTCCCAGTGGCATTGGTCACGGAGCACATCAACAGCACTTCTGCATCACTGCTAGACTCTCTCATGCCACCACGAACAGACAAGCTTGCTGAGACTGATGAAGCGTTCCAGTTGCCTGCGAGCATCGGAACTCGTCCAACATGTTGCAAGCAGATTTAGTCGAGCTGTCCGAAGATGCCCAACGCATCAGAAGAAGGCACGTCAAGAGTCGTATGCATTGCATTTTGCCAACTCCTTTGCGTTGCGGTGGCGACAAACTCGCCCTCTGGTTCGAACCTCCTGAAGCCACCGTATGGAAGGTTAAGAACAACAGAGAGCGTGCAAAGAGCTTGCACGCAAGACTTCGCTCTTTACTTCCACTGAGGTGCCTGAGGCTCTTCCAGAGCCTGATTTCGCAGCAGCGAGCCCGGTGCTGGGAGACTCGGCCTCCACCACATCCGTGCTGGCCTGGTCATCTTGGCGCCAGCGGGATAAGAGCTGGGCACCCAACGGCCAGTCGAAGAACTCTCCTGACACCTCGACTGCCACCACAGAGGGCCGCCTAGCAACTGCAGCAATCTATGCGGGAGCTGCGATGAATGCCAACACACTGGGCTGGGGCGCGACTGCGCGAGCGGCGGAAGCCGCGGCGCGGCAGAAGTACACCTCGGAATCGAAGAAGTTCTCTGGCGATCCGGATCTCTCATCGAATCCTGGATGGCACTTGGAAAGCATCGTGCCGTGCTTCAATGCCGCGCAAATCCCGCAGGCTTGATGTGGCCCTGATCGCTCCTTTGGCCGATGACATCACGTTGGGGCCTCGTAAAAAGAAGGGCGAGGTTGGCAAGTTGGGTTGGGATGCGTCGGGCTTTCGCTGAGCTGAAGGCCTGCCCAGGTGAACGAGCGCTCGGCGAGTGGAGCTCTCGTCCTGGAGCCGGGACAGGCTCGGGTGATCTCCGCTCGGACTCGGGCCTACTTAAAGGATCATGGGACTTAGTAACTAGGGTTATAATTAGGGTAACTACACTTATATATCCCCAAATAGCCTTACTTACTAAGTCCCACGATCCTCCAAGAAGGGTGCATGAAAGTTTTGCCAGGCTCCGCAACTGCAGTGCGTGGATCCGTCCATCTGTGCCTTGAATCGATTAGAGTCCAGGAGTGCCCACTGAGAATATCGGAGCTGCAAATCCCCAACAGCTAGTAATTTAAGGTCCATAAGGACGATATAATAAAGGGGGTACTAGCTAAGCTGCCTCTGCTGCCATTCACTTGGTGGAGGTGCTTCTCCCACAAATGCCACTTACCTGGCCGCCGACGACGGCCAACTGCGCAGCTTCTTCATCGGCCCGGCACCTGTTGTTGTTTTGAAGGCTGCTCGAGAGATGAGTTTCGGAGCTACCTGCACAGTACTTAGGAGGTAGAGGCTCTTTATGTCTTTAAGTCTCCAGCTTCTCAGGTGGTTCCTATTTGGACGGAAAGGACCTTGCAGCGTGTTGCCTGCAGCTGAGCATGTTGGAGCTGCTGTTTGGTACGGTCCTACAAGTATGAGGCAAGGTGACAAGGTGCCGTTGCGAGCAGAGGTCCTCAGTTCAGTCTGGTAGACGACGGCACTGGCTACCGCGGGGATGGCCTCCCCATCTTCCGCGCGCGTCCCATTCCAAATCTGGCTCTGTCACAGGGAGAGGGGAAGCAGCCTGGCGTTACGCGGGCATCGTCGCACAAGGCCATAGCTTCACCGGCGCATTGCTGCTGGGGCACGCAGTTTTCCTTTGTCCATCTACTGGTTCAGAGGACAGGGCTGTTTTTTGGGCAGTGTGCTTAGTGCTTCACGTGCTTCAGCCTGTTCGTAATCCGTGGACCGGAGGATCTCCAGCTGCTGTTCCGGCGTGGTCCGCTATCCACGGTTCGCCGATTTGGTCAAGGCCTGGAGTCGGCGGAGTGAAAACTCTGCGCGCCTTTGCGCAGCTGGCCCCCGGAGGTCTCTTGGGCTGTGCAGAGCTTCTCTACGAGTTCATCTCTGGATCGGATGATGGCATGAGTCCGAGGGATGCAGGCCGCGGCCTGAGCCCAAAGCGGAGGCCGCTCTGCGCAGGCTCTCCGCGGTGTCTTCTGTCTAGGTTTCCATGGCGGCTTCCTTGCCATGCGACACGGACCGCGGAGCACTGCGAGCATTGGTGAGACGGGAGGAAGCGAGCCTCCTGCCTGCATTGGTTGTGTAGTAGCTGAAGTAGTCATTGGGCATGATCATCGCATGTTCCTATGTCAGCCTTCACTGGAGATGCATTGTGATAATAGGTCTGACAGCAAGTGCTATGTGCCTATTGTCGTCGATGTGCGGAGCTGCAGCGCATGTGCTGCGCTGAGGTGTCCCTTTGCATGTAGATCTTTCTCAAGGCATGCTGAACTGAGGCACTCGAGAAAGTCTAGCAGGAAGAGACTTCGATGGCGCCACCTGGAAGAAGTATGCTGCTCCATACCGCAGTCTGCAACAGTCCTTTCGATCAAGGACGTTCTGGACGCCGATTTCGTTTCGCTGACAGACGTGGAGGAAGCTGCAGGCAAGTGGGAATGTCACCCGTCGTTCAGTCTTTCTTGTGCTCCCACTCCCAAGGCTTCGTCTTCCAAGCAATCGAGTGCCGGCTGGAAAGGGAGCTTCACAACAGCGACGGCGAGGGACGAGCAGCGCCTTCCCCTGCCTCACTTCATCGGAGCGCCCTCCACCGTACCGAAACGGCAGGTACGAAGTTTGGCGCACTTCCTGTCGTCCATCGGTAGAACGGAGGCGGGGCGGCAGTGTCTTTGTGGCAGAGACTTCGACGATTCAGCCTCCTCTGTGCCAGGAAGCTGCAAAACTGTGGCAACAGGCCATCCATAGCGACGAGGCTGACTCAGTGTTGCCCCCGGAAGCTGCTGCAAAGCGCAGCGATGCGTTGACCCAGGAGGGCAAGGACAGCAAGGACACCCTGCAGGCCGTCCGTCAAGCAGTGTTGCCCGGGGTGCGAGTCTTCGGCTGCAGATTGCACACGCCGCATCGGCGCTGGCTTCCTGCCTCGACGTCCGTGGCTCAACCGCCAGGGCCAGGGCCTCCAAACGTCACACCACGTCGCACTGCTTCAGGACTTGGGCCGTGCGGAGGAGGCCGAGCCTCTCCACAGCAGGGCCCTGGCCTCCTTTGCCTGGTCCTCGTATGTCTTTGGAGTTGTTAAAAAGGGGAAAAAGACGAAGAGTCTTAGAGTTGGAAGGGACTTGGACAACAATGAAACCCAGGAGAGGGCCCTGGGCCGCTCCTGTCCAGATGCAGCGTCTGCCCGGCTGGCGCTGATGACCTCCCGCTACGTGCAAGGCGGGCGGCCATTCAGCTGCAGGAGGGGCAACAAACACTCCTTGTGGCAGGGCTGGCGAAGAAGCACGGCATTCTGCCTTCAGCCGGAGATGCTCTTCTTCGCATGGAGGCCCAAATCCGCTTTAGGGATGTTAGGCTTCCTGCGAAGCTGTTCGCCGGCAGGGCGCTTCAGCGCATGCGCTTGCTACGATCTTCAGCAAGGCCGTGAGCCGCGGCCTGAGACTTGCAGGCTTCGGATGATTTCGAACCTAAGACTTCAAGAGCAGAGATACTGCTACACGTAGTGCGCTTTGAGAAAGGTGCGGAGAAGGAGGAGGACTCGCATGGCAGCGAGCTCTTTCACCGACAGGTGTGGGCTGAGACTGCACCCGGCTACACCCTTGCGAAGTTTGTAGTTGAAGGCCTTGGGCGTGTTGCGAAGAGCGCTAGGGTGCGGCCCCCGTGGTGTATTGTAGACGGATCTCCAGAAGCGTGCCGTGGCTGCCTCTGGCAAGCATAGGCGTCATCATCCGGACACCTTGCACTGCTTGAACAACCTCGCTTTGTGCCTTGGGGACTCACGCCATGTCAAGCGACAATTTTCAGCATGCCCCGCGTCCTGCGTCCTGGTTTGCAGGACCAGGGCAAGCTAAAAGAGGCGGAGCAGCTGTTGCGCCGGGGCCCTCGCTGTTGGAAGCATTCGTGGGGAGTGATAAGCGCTTTGCAGCACGTGACCCGACTCGATGAATTGAGGGTTTCTTTGAGGCCGGACCCTGGCGGGCATGGAGGTGGCGCTCCCACCCTCGCCAGCTGCACAGGGTGTGGTCACGAGAGTCTTTTCGTGGCGTGTTGTTTTGGGCCTGAGGCACCCTAGACCCATCCAGGCGCTGAGCAACTTGGCCGGTTGCCCGTCCCCGAGAGACGGAGACGGCGCCCGTTTAGATCTTCAACTTCATGGGGCCTTGGAAGCATCTCGAAGCCCAAGGCCTGGCGGAGCAGGGCAATCTGGCCGAGGCCGTTTTTTTTTGTGAGTTTGGAGGGATCCAGAATGTCTATGCTGGCAGCACAGGCGGAGCAGCATCACCGGAAAGCTTTCCAAGCCTGCAAGCGCAAGCTAGGCCTGGGCAGCTGAGAGCCGCGAAAGCTGAAGCTCCGGCTTTCACAGCCTCTGAGGTTGGAAGCATCCTGAAACTGCCGCTGCTGCGCAAAGCAGCCGCCTCAGCGACCTTTTTTCTGCGTACTGCCCGACCCATCGGAGAGAGCCCAAAGATGCGCTTGCCCACGTGTCGCACGCCGCGCTCGAACCTCTGAGGCCTTGTGCAGTTTCTGATGCTGCACGGTCACGCCACGGAGGACCGTCGTTGAGCTTCTCCTCTATCGGTTCCCTTAAAGGCTATGCGGCTCTGCCCTTCCTTCATTCGTGAGAGAACGTCTCTCGAGAGACAGAGATCCGTACCGGTATCTGAAGCCTTCCTCCGCTTCCACCAGGCGGCCCTTCTTGAGTTGCAGGCGCAGCAGTTCGGGACGAGGTCGGGGTCCCCGAAGTGATGGGATGACAGGTGGGGCTCGTCACAGGTGGTGTAATTCTAGAGGCGAGGATTGCTGCTAAGTGTGGCTGCTTCTGCAAGCGCTGGACAACGAGGCTGATGGCGGCGACAAGGTGAGGTAGTCTTCCATCGGGACAATAAGAAGCGCCAGAAGTCCAGATTCACAGGTGCGTTTCCCGTTTGATGCCGACCACTCCTTTTTCAGGTTGGTTCCGACGTACAGTGCTAAACTACGACGTACTACAAACTCATCCGAGGAGGCGTGGTAAGCAATGGCCGGATTTGCAAGATGCGAATCTGATCAATGGAGCAGAGCTGGTGCTCTCGACGAGCAACATTTTCGACTCTGCACCGTAAATGCTCCCTGGTCCACGACCAAGTCGCGAGACCAATGTGACAGTTTCGCAAGTCGCAAGCAAAAGAGAGCGGCCCTTTCGAGAGATTCAGAAGCCCTATCAGAAGCCCAGAGCCTCAAACTTCTCCAAAAAACAGCCTCAGACAGACTCCAGAAGACGCGCGCAGTGCGCAGTGCGCAGAGTGCGCAGGTTGCACGTGGGTGGAGCGAGGACGGCGCTCTTCAACTGGCTCTTTGCCAAGTCCCAGGGCGGCGAGCTGGTCCTCCGAGTGGAGGCCGCTGCGCTCTGCGAGCCTCTCTCTCTTCCCTCTCTTCCCTTTAGGGTTTTAGGGTTTAGGGAGCTTTGCAAAGAGAGCTCCTCTTCCCTCTGTCCTTTCAAGGACACGGATGTCGCGAGATCGACGAAGGAGTCGGAAGCTGCGATCCTGGAGGATTGGCTCGCTCGGAGTCGGGGCGGCGGGCTTTCGACTCTGTTCGTTTCAGAAGTCCTGTCGCAGGGCCTGAAATGGTGCGGTATCTCCTGGGATGAGGGCCCGGATGTGGGTGGCGAACACGGGCCATATCGGCAATCCGAGCGCATTAAGGCCAGACGGCATGAGATGTCTGAGACGAGCCTCAAATGCCGTTCCAACGCAGATTCCCAGGGGTTCAGGGTCTAGAGTCTCGAGAAGTCCAGGCGGGCATCTACGAGAAGCAGCTGGAAAAGCTTATGGCAGAAGGCCACGCCTACAGATGTTTCCTCACGCCAGAGGCCGGGGGCCCCCTTCATTTCTTGGTGTTTTACGATTTCAAGAGCCTGTTGGGCGCCCGACGAGGAGCTCGATGAGATGCGAGCCGAAGCAGAAAGAAACGAGCAGGTTTCAACCTTGGCACTTGGAACAGTGGCTTTAGGGTTTAGTGCCTAGGGTTTAGGGTTTTTGAACCTTGGCGGCTGCCGATTCGGAGTCAGCAGAATGCTTTTGCCTGGAGGCCTTCGTGGTGCAGAGCCCCTGGGCAAATGCGTCCGAAGAGGAAGTGCAGGCGGTGACTGCTTCCCCAGCTCCGATGTTTAGTTGTGCACTTGCGACTTGAGAGGCCATGATCGACGAGGGCAAACCCTACGTGTACAGATTCCGAGTCCCTTTTGACAGGCCTCGAAGCTTCGAGGGTCCCTCCCTGCCACAGCCCATGACCGCAGGGAAATCGTGGTGGATGATCTGGTGCTTGGAGAGGCCGGGACCGCCAGCCCAAAGTGAGACGCACCTCTGCCGAAAGTCTGCCGCTGCTGAGGTGATCTGGAACTCTGACGATCTCGGCGGCGACTTCGTCATTGTCCGTCAGAACGGCTTAACCCCAAGTGCGACTTGACGCTGAGCGGCTCCTGGCCGCGGCCCCGTCGTACCGAGGAATGCCCATGTACAATTTTGGCGTCGTGACCGATGATGCTTCCATGGGCATCACCCATGTGTTGAGGGCCCAGGACGACTAAACTTTGCGCTGCTCTTCCAGAAACCGCGTCGGGTCTGTGGGTAGCCGATTTGCTACATCTGTAGAGTCGCGGTGCTGCCTACGAGGAGCACTTGATGAACACGCCACGGCAGATTTTGATGTACGAAGCTCTGGGCCTCAAGGTGGCCTCTGGATTGTAACGAGCTGGAGTGGACGTGAGCGATCGCAGGTGCCCACCTTTGGTCACATGCCATTGATCCTGGCGCCGGACATCTTACATACATATATTCATATCTTTCATAGATGCTTGCACACTTCTTGCGGTCGTGAAACTGATTCCGTCTGTTTCCCTCGGCTACGGATCTCTCCTGAGGATGACAGCTCCCTAGTTCCTGAGCAGGACCGCACTAAGCTGTCGAAGCGACACGGCGCTGTTTCAGTCGGCGAGCCCGAGCCTAAATGCCCTTTCCTGTAGAACTCTCTTGTCTTTTAACAACCCTGTTTGTGCGGCCGCGGATGAGCGCCCCCCAGGTATCAGAAGCGAGGATACCTACCTTCTGGCCTGGCCAACGCCTTGGTTGCTTAGACTTTGATTCAAAACGGCTCGTGCTCGCCCTTGCTCGAACCTCCCGGGCCCTACGCTATTCTGGGAGCTTGACCTGCTGGGGGTGGGATGTTGAATAGGCAAAGCCACCAACAGCTTCCATTTTCCACTTCGTGTACCTTTTCTCGCTGTTTCTCTGCTTCGTTGTCTCATGTGTTCTGATTCATGGCTCTGACCTGGTCGTTTGCCTAGTTCAACACACACAGGCATACACGTATATGCATGCTTTAATGTAATGTATGTATGTATGGATGGACATCTTTACGTTTTGCTGCAGAGCATCCATGTCCCAACCATGATAACGTCCACCCCGACCCCATCCGTTCTGCCAGAGCATCCATGTCCCAACCATGATATCGTCGACGTCCACCCTGACCCCATCGATTCTGCCAGAGCATCCATGTCCCGACCATGATAGCGTCCACTCAGACCCCATCGGTTCTGCCAGAGCATCCACGTCCCAACCATTATTGTGAAACGGCAAATCCTGCGACGAAGCTGGAAGGCAGTGCGAAGCGTTTTCTTGAACGACCGTGGCAGGGCACCGACAGCAGAAAACAATGTCCTGGCCGAGGCTTTTGTGTCCCGACTCTCAACCCTGCAGTGAACGTCGAATAACGTGCACCACACACGGTCTGATCGCAACTGTGCAGTTCCGATGTACTTTCTGGAACCTGTCTGAAGCCCCATCACTCGTACATAGCGAATAAAATCAAGCTAACTCACACACAAAAGGTGGGCAGACGATCCGCCTACAGTTGTAGCAACACCCAGTTTTTGTTGATTATCCTGTTTCCCGTAGCGTGCTAAGAGTTCAGCGACTTCGGTCAAGGGATGTAGCAGCCGTGACTCCAATGCCTTACCAGGAGTCCAAAACAGATGATAGCCTTCGGCACACGAGGGCGGCCCTTCGAGACGTCAACGCTTTTCGCGCGAAGTCCACGAAAGAAGCGACTTGATAGGGAGAGGCAACCAACCAAACGAATGTTTCAGGTTTTCTATGTGGCGGCAGGATCTGAGATTGTTTCGTGCTTTCGATGGCCAAGATGGTGCCCGCTGTTTCGAATGCCCCAGCAGTTCACCCGGGGTTTGGAGAGCACTGGCCTGCAAGATTCGGGCTTAAGAAATCCGTGCGGAAGTGGGCGAATCGGCCTCGTCTTAAATGCAGTGGGACATGGAAGGTTTAAGCCCATGTTGTCCGCGCAGACCCAGTTTGGCAAGAGTTGAGTCAGAGTGCCGTTGTTGTGTTCGGATTGGCAGCAACTGAAAGGTGAATTATCTGGCTCAGCTGGGATGGAACGACGGGACCAAGCAGGCTCGCGGGGGAAGCTGTTTTTGTGTCACGGGGGGGGGGGGGGGGGGCCCTGGCCCCTCGCCCCCCGCCTCCGCTTTCAGGAGATCTACACCATCGAGGAGCTGCTCGAGGCCTTCAAAATGGAGCGCATGAGCAAGGCCTTGGAGGGTGTCTGGGAGAGAGCAAAGGCAGAAGCCAGAGGTGATGTCTTGGGCCTTGGGGTCACATCTCCGGAGCAGGTGGCAGCCATCTTTGACACGGACAAGTTCAAGTGGGTGAACGGCCATCATGTGCGGCGGCTGAGCGACGAGGAGGCTGAGCCACGAATTCACGAATCCCAGAACCCTGGGCCCAAAGCCCTCCGCAGCTCTGCGCAGCTGCAAGGCCTTGGAGCAGATTGGAGAGCGGTTGAAGGACCAGGGCCTCGTGAAAGAGGCCGAACGTCGAAGCAACCCACTTTCCTTGGTACCCTAATATAGTACCCTGATGTAGTAGGATCCTTATTATGAGAACCCAAAACAAGGTACCCGAACAGCTCCTGCTCCTGCCCTTCATCGCACACTGCTCTCGAGGTCTCTGGCGACTTCGTCAAAAAGGCCTCGCAGCTGCGCCGAGCTCGGAGATGACTTGTGACTTATGCATCACAAGAATATGTAAACTGCGAAAACTTCAAGACTTCAACAAAGCTACCCTCCCACAGAACCAACCTTGGGCTTCTCGAGATGGCAAAGTGATGGAACTGCCAAGCAAGATTCAGAGCCAAAGCAAAGCTGAAACCACTGAATGGCACAATGTCGTTTCATCCACGGCAGTAGTAATACCAGAACTAGTAGCTTTCGACGTACTATCAGAAGCCATGCAAGGCTGTTGCTAGTCAAGCCAGATCCTTTAATACTCGGACTGGTCAATGTATTCGGACTAAGGTCGATGCTGTTGCATGTGATGGACCTAATACTTGTAGCAGTACCAACACCATAAGGCTAGCAGCATGGAGAGACGCAGCCTAATGCCTCATGAACTACCGTCTGCTGCCAACGTCTGCCAGAAGTGCAGGTGCTGGTGGCATGAGCGGGCAAAGTTCGTTCCATAACACCACAACCAGACATGTAATATTAGTCATACCACCATGCGTGTTTCGCACGACATAAGGAAGCTCAGATATCTCTCAATAAAAAGACTAACAAGCCAAATTCGGTTGGTCATAAAGTCACGCTCTCCCTGCTGTTTCTCAATAAGACGTGGAGCTCCAGACTACTTCAACTATACATACAATGCCAGGCATGCAGGTAAACAGTCAAGATCCAAGGCATTCAGTGATTCAGGTAAACAGTCAAGATGCAGACTATAGTATTTGGATCCTGGTCGACCTTTTGGCATTCCAATCTACGTGCCCTTCTATCCTGAGTCAAGGAGAGTCCCCTTCTCGCTTAATGAAGTTATACTCGAAACGTGATAGCTATCAAGGAAGAAGATAGTGGCTCTTCTGTCTTTGATCTCCATGACATGAGCAAGCACTTCTATCTCTGATTTCGCAATGTCAGATGAGTTGCTTTCTCCGGGTATTGCATAAAGCAAGCCGGACTTTGCCCTCCAGCAGAACATAACATCCCAATGTTGGTAGGCTCAGATAGCGTAGGTGAAGGCTTGTGTATGCAGTTCCCATGTTTCGGTACTCGTGTCGACTTTTCTGCATATTGGCCAAGTTCTGTACACTGAAGGACCTCCTTCACATCAATTGAACGAGTTCCTGGTGAAGGAAGCTCCAGAAGAGTGAGCAGAATTCCTTTTTGTTCCCCTGTGGTACGAAGCTCTGACAGTGTGTTGCATTCGCCGACTGGTGACATGTGCAGTATTGCAGTGCAGCGTACAGCGTAGTACAAGATCATGGAATCGTACTATTCTGATTCTGTGAACCGAGCAGAATGAAGTACGCATCAAGGTACCAGACAGTGTAACACACCATGATACGGCCTATCATCTCAGCATTCTGGTGTGTTACGCTCATGGCAGGCAGTGAATTATATCGTGATCTCTTGTAGAAAAAGATACCTTTTAAACGTGCTTTAGGGTATCGGGGCTTATCTCAAGCATGCTATCAGGATATACCTTATCTTGTGATATTTAGCTAATGCCTGCTGTATTTCTTATTGCCTACGGTCCGATGCAAAGATCGGCAGGGCAGTTGAGTAGCGCTTTGAGGCTCAGAGACCGAATAAGCACCCTGGAAGATGCCGTCGAGGACTGCTTGAAGCGAAGCAGAGATGCTGAGAGACGTGCAAGGGTGATTGCTCGCAGCCAGGAGCTGACTGCCATGCTCGAGTTTGATCTGGAGGTGTGCATTGGTCCTGGATGCAGCAGAGATCTGCTTCATCGCTCTGACAGGGCATGATGGCGAAGGAGGTGGCCAAGCCGTACATAGAGGCTACAGCTGGGGTGGTTCTTTGGGCGGCTCCGAAGCCGTATCAGCGGCGCATGTGGGCTCGCACTTCAGGACGGCTCACTCAATGAGACCGCGCGGCTGCTCTTGAAAGCGAAGGACGCTTACAACTAGAACTGAGTATGAGCATTGTCATCAGCACGTGAGCAAAGTCACGGTATGTGCCAACAGAATGCAGATGGAGTCATGTAGAGATTGTGCAGCAAAGACGGCTAGGAGCAGGGCGACTTTGATGACATTGGGAAGGATCCACAGGCTGCGGCTGTTGATGCTCGCCAGAATACACTTTGGCACAAAGAGCGGCAGGTGATGAAGAAGATTGCAAAGCAGATCAGCGAGGCCTTGCATCAAAGACGGTGGCAAAACTGGAGATCCCCTTTCCGGGTTCTAAACTCATCAGCTTATTGCGAACTCCAGTTGGGCAGCACTTCTTCAGAATGGTCAGAAAGAAGCAACATGAGTCCATGAGTGCCTCGCAATCTTCGGAAAAACATACCTTCGCATGGAATTAGCCGGGCCTTGCCTGCACTGCGGCCAGGTGACTAGTGACTCGTGCAAATGAGGCAATGATGGTAGTGACGGTGATCCTGGCCGTGCCCATGGGGTGGTGATGCTGGTTGTGGTGGCACTTGTCATGGCGACGATGAGGTGACGTGCAGAATGTATGAAGTGACACGAGACCAGAGTTCGTGCCGTGAGCTGTCGCAGCACGAGCTCCTCCTTTGAAGCTCTTTCTTCTCTCCGCACCCACCCCTTTAGTTACTTGGTTTTGTCAAGACCGCTGTTCGGCGGGCTGGTGCTGGACAGGCTTCACCCAGCTCCACCCGATCAGCTGTTCGGCCTCTGGAGTGCAACCTACACAGACGAGAGGACAATGCAGAAAAGTGAGCCATTGCGGGTAAGTGCATTAACTCGAGGAACACGAGTCATAACGACAGCCTGTGGCAGAAACCACAAACAGAGATGGTGATGGCGGCGGTGGTGGCGGTGTTGTAGTAGTAGCAGGAGGAGGAGGGAGTAGGAGGAGGAGGGAGTAGGAGAGGTGCAGTAGCAGCAGCAAGTAGTAGCTGTAGCAGTAGCCGTGGCCGTAGCGGCAGCAGTAGCAGTAGCAGCAGCAACAGCAGTGGCAGTGGCAGTAGCAGTTGGAGGAGTAGTAACAGAGGGAGGAGTAGTTTGGAAGTTGATAGCATGCGAGCCGGCTGGTCAGTTCGCCTTTGCTGACAGGCACGTGGAGGTGTGAAGAAGAAAGCCCTCCTTGTCCCTCTTCGCACTCGCCTTGGGTGCGTGTGATGCTTGTGGACAAAGCTCGATTGGTCAGACCGACTCTGCTTTGCAAATGGAGTACTGGTAGCAAAGCTTCGCTTCTGTGCCTTTGTCTCTGAGGGCTGTGCCTGACCTCCTCGGCTCAAGGCTGGGTTCGAGTTTCAGGCAGAAGGAGAAGCGCTTCTTTTCGGTTCCTCCAGGTCCCGACATGAGCGTCTTCTTCGAGATGCTTCAGGAAGTTGATGACAACGTGCTCTGCAAGTGTGTCCGAAGCTGGCAGCAAGGGCAGCTGTCGACTCTTGCACAGACTTAGTGGGACAAGGTCTCCTTGGATGAGCGGCTTGACATGCTGAAGGAGAAGCCATGGCCCCAGACTAGCAAGCCTTTCGTACATGACTATCAAAATGTGCATTACTCAGCGCAAGGGGTAGAAGGTTCTGACATAGATGGAAGTCTGGGATCTGCTTACTCGAACCCATTCGAGAAGTGGTAACAGCAGTTTGCCGGTTGGCACTCCCAGGGTCTGCCAGAGACGGCGGAATATATATACAAATATGCATTTTGGCAGGAACGTTGACCCGGGGAACGGAGGGCCTGCTGGCAGACTCGGGAAAAACGGTTCAAACTCTCATGTGCCCTCAGCCCCCTCCCGTGAGATGCCTTCGGCCGAGGTTTGTGGACCAGCCTGTGCCATGTTGCTGCCCCAGAGGGCAGTTCGTTTTGACAGTGTGAAGAGTTTTGTTGAATTGTTTGCTTGTGTGCTGAGGTTAAGTCGCCCATAGATACTGGCGAACTCGCTGGTGTCTCCGCTCAGACATGCGTGCAAAGAGAGCACACTGCTCTCAGTCTCACTTGCCTCCCAGGCAACTATCGAGGCTGGGCATGATAGCCAGGCCAATTTTTTCTCAGAGTTAAGCATAGTAAATGAGCAGCCGTCGGGTAGAAGGAGTAGCCTATTTTTAACGTGGCTGAGCTGCACTACGCTCTACAGCCCTTCTTCGCAACCGATGTGATGCCGTATGGCGAGACTGCCTTCGAAAGGTTTGGCAGGATTGGTCGCGAGTATTCCAAAAAAAAGGCTTGGCTAATCAGGGATTGCCTTGCCGGGCTCATGATTTTTTTGCTATATACCGTGACAGTCAACCTTCTTGGCTCCAACGCTCAGAGACGGCATTCTGATCATCTGAGCGTTTACATGAACGGCCTCATATGGACTACGAGACACCGTTTCGAGAAGCATATTGGCTCCTTGAGGCTTTCCGGTCTAACCAGATTTGGTAAGCAAAAGGGATAGCAGTTGGTTTAGGCAAGAGGTACCTCCCAATGCAGGGCTGATCACGTGCAGTCAGCATCGTGCAATGAGTATAAAGCCATCACATCCCGCTGTACTCGTACATGGGTGCGGCAAGCCGTGTCAGCGGCATGGACGGTCAAAGAGGCCGCGCTGGATCTGTGAACGTAGTCTCACCTAGTTTGTCGCTTCTGCCCCAGGCCCGCGCAGAGGCCTTTGACATGCTCAGGCTGGCATGTGCAACGCAAGCAGGCACAGTTAAGGCTTGTCAGAGCAATCGAGACGTAGGAAAGCCGTGCCTCAAGATGCGCCACTCGCCTGGGCATCTTGCTGAGAACGGGTCGAGCTTTCTGGAGCCTGAGCTGAGGCCGGAGATCGTACGCGTGTACCTCGCGACGTGGCGCTCACACGGCTCGGTTTTGCTGAGGAGCAAAGACCGGGCATCGTTGGATCTCCTTGTGTCCCGGGCCATCTTCGGCCGTCTCAACGCGTCTGGAAGGACCGGCGAGTCTGCCACGGCGTCTGCGCTGGATGACGAGGTGGAGATGTAAAGTGGGTGGAAGGTTCCTCGTGCTCGGAGCTCGACCTTTCTGCAGGCACAGGCACAGCAGGAACAGCTGAAACGCCCGTGCCTCAAAGTGGTCGGGAAAAGAAGGGGCGAGAGAGGAACTTTCGAAAAAGCTCCAAGGCTTCACTTCCTTCCTGGAGTCAGGGCAGCGCCACTTCGCAGGGCTCCGAGCTCCGAACCTGTGCTGCAGCTCTTTGCTTTTAGCTGGTTTAGAAGATTCTCAGATTGTCGCTGAAGATGACGACGCACCGAACCAGCTGGGCCCTTGTAAAACGACGACGGTAGCGGTAGCGGCACTTCTGAGTGTTTGGCCAGTCTCAGGCAGCGCCTGCGTGCCTTCATCAGCTTCGGGCAGGGCTGCTTTCGTGCCTGAGCACCCTCAACAGTAGGTCTGAATCATGAATGATAGTACTAACTAGTATTCCCTTAAACTCCCTATTGTAATTGCAGGCAAGAAATGTATGCTACAACCCTCCGCAGGCCGAGCTACACTCGCGATGGCTTTGGAGAGGCCCTGGCCCTGGGCGAAGCCGTATAGGACAAGTCCCTGGCGTTTTCTTGCGACTTCCGGGCGGAGGTCATGCAGCTTTTTGTGCATCCTGCCTTTCAACGCCGTGGCCTGGGGAGCAAACTCCTGAAAGCAGCGTGCGAGACCTGGAGCTGGATGCAGAAGACTCTGAGCACCCGCCGCAGCTTCGAGGTGGCTTGAACTTCGTGGTCGGACGTGGTCCAAGATGGGCTGCCATGTTTGGTCCGACACTTTGGCGCCTTCTTCGCTGACAGCCCGAAGATTCGGCGGGAAACTGCAGGTGCACGAAAGGCAATCCTGCGAACCGTGTCTACGAGCAGGCACGGCAGCTTTCTGCTTGAGCTCGAATGCCTGGAAAACCCTCCGCCTGAGCCGCTCAAGGCGGGCTGGTTCTCGACCGGCCGGCAGAAGAGCACGGCTCCTTTTCGCGTCCGTTTGCCTGTCGTTTCTTTTTGCAAAGCCCTTTTGTGGGCCTTCGGCTTAGGTCTGAAGCCGAGCCTCAGCAAGGATCCTGTCGTCCGACGCCCAGCCCGGGCCGCAGGCGGAAGGCTTCGCTTGTAGCTCTGGTCGCCCAGGAGGTGGAGGAGTTCCAAGCGCCCGAAGCACCGCAAGTGGCCAAAGGCCAGAAAAGCTGGCAGAGGCAGCGAGCCTCAGTTAGGATGGCGCTGGAATGTGTGAACTTTGCCGGTGCCAGGTTTCTTCTTGGGTCGGAGGCCCTGTGATGTCAGTTTTCGGGACTTGTGCAGAAACCGTCTTGAGGTCAGCGTTTCGCTTGTGCAAACCCAGGTTGGCGATAGGGATCCTTGTGGGCGCCATCATGAAGGCAGTCATCACAGAAAAGCAACCAATGGAGAGGCAGCTCGCTCTTCGTTCTAGAGCTTCTAGATGTTTCATGTGCAGGCTGCTATTCTGCGTCCAGCTCTTACAGTGCATTACCTTCAGACTGCGTTGTCTCCTGGTGACCATATGTGGTGAAAGCAGCATGCAACATAGCAATCACAGAAGTGGAAGATGCAGACTCCCCGCAGCGAGACGACGCTTCTAAGGTGGACGAAGCTCTTGAAGGACTGTTTCTCGTACAGCAGCGATGGCGACACCTGGCGACGGAGCAGGTTGGATTTCACGTCCTCTCTGCAGAACTCTGGGTTCACGGACGAGCTCGCCGGCCAGCTGTCCAATTTCTGGCGTCCTCCTGGCCCTGATCCCTCCAGACAAGCCACACCTGCCGGAAAAGAGCCTGGTGTAGGGGCACGCAACTCTGTGTTTCATGTCTGTTCAAGGCTGTAAAGATCCGGATCCGATGCCGGGCTCAGGATTTTGTTGAAACACAGTTTGTTGACCGGCCGACTGGAATGGAGCTTTCATGATTGGTACAGTGTAGATGCTTGATGCAGATGACTTTGCAGTCTTGGTGGTATGGAGCTTCAAGTGATGGACAGTAACGTGCCAGCCATGACGGACTGCAGTGCAACGTTTCCAGGCGAGGATCCGGTGCAATTCTTCCAGTCGGCGCTACGCCGTCCTTTCTAAAGCTTCGACGGTCTGGCAGTCCAAGAGTCCAAGAGTCTAGATAGTCTGGATTTCAAAGTGTGCGACCGCTACTATGCGGTGTTGCGACCGTCCAGGTGGTGCCGTTGGCTCTTCGTGCGACATCGACGCCAGTTTCGCTCTGCCGGTTCGACTCCGCTCAGCACCGCGGCGCCCGGAGACACGGCGGCCAGGGCGGCCAGGGCGGCCAGCTGCCGAGCGCTTCCACCCATCGACCTCCGTTGCAGGCGTTTGGGGGCTGAGCGGCTCCTTGAGAGTGCTCGGCATCTGCCATATCAGGCCTGTGCCTAGGAGCTGCTGGAGTCGCTGCACAGCGTCGCTGTCCCAGCTTCCCCTCTCACGTCTTGGGGCTTGGGCCCGATTCGATGTGCTTTCAGGTGGCCGTCGCGTGCTGCAGAGGCGGCGTGTGGCTTGGCATTGGCTGTTCAGGATCGGATCGTTCCCATCTCTCCATTCGTTGACAGAATGGGTTTGGGCGATACCACAAACTGCAGCGATTGGTGACTACTCCGTCAGATCTCAGGACTCGAAGGTTCAGCCACGACCGCGAAGCATACTGTCGGCCAGCGGCGCAGCTGCAAGCAGGACTTTCTAGTGCGTTTTTCAGAGATCTTCTCTGCGTGCTAGGAATCTGCAGGTATGCTGCCCGAGGGCCCATTGGTGAAAGAAAAGCGGGGTGCAGGCTCGGGAAGGCCCGTAGATGCTCGAGAGCACATGTCCATGAGCGGACAAGTCGCTTCTTTCGGGGAGTGGCTCTGCCTTGCAGGCTCGGCTATTCCCAGAAGTATGCAGAGGAGGACGACTACGAGGTGGGGTTACTGCGACCAGCGATCTCTGCAGCTGTGCATCGCTTTGGTACAGGAAGAAGGGCCAATGACGACTATCCTTGATTTCAACAACACTGAGGAGCGCCTCGAAAGAATCAAGGACTGGACCTCTAGCACTGGAAGTGAAGACATTGACGAGCATGGACTGGCCAGCGAGGATGTGACACGAACACCTGTCACGCTGCTGACTGGCTTTCTAGGCTCAGGAGTGCAGTGATCGCAGGGTTGGCTTGCCGGACATTTTGGTCTCTCTGGGCACGAGTGGGCAGGAAAGACCTCACTGCTCAAGCACATACTCGAGAATCAAGAGGGTGTCCGTCCGAAACCAAGCAAGCTACAAGTAAGCAGCCAAATGAGGTCCAATGACCATGGCAGTAGCATGCACTGAGGAATCGGAGTTGTGGTCAACGACGTCGCCGCTGTAAACATTGATGCTCAGCTGATCCAGAGGCTTGATCTGGGTTCATGTCCTCGGAGTACGTGATCATGCCTGGGAAAGTGCTATGCCAGGTACGAGAAGAATGGTGCGATTGAGATTGCGGAGCTTGCTAATGGATGTGCAGAGTCCCGATCTGCTTCTGATGGACATCCTCCCTTCCTCCTGTTTTGGTCCCGTGTTGTCCTTAGGTTTGCTGCACGGCATCTGATGATCTGGTGGCATCAGTACAAGAGCTGGTGAACAGGTCTTATGGAAGGCCCTTGCAAGTAGAGTCGGAAGGAGGATGAACTCAAGGTTGACGAAGGGCATCATGTGCGTTCCTGTTAATCTCTCTGCCCAGAATCCCTTTCTAGTCTCGAGTTGAGGCATAAAGAAGTTCTACACATCTGTAGGTCTTAAGGTGAGGAGAACCCATTGTGGACAGTGGGTAGAGATGAGTGTCGGAACTGCAGGCCGTTCCATCACGTGGTGATCGAAATGAGCGGTGTTGGTGAGCTGGCATCCGAGTACTGCTTGTGCGCAAGACCGTGCAAGACTCGTGATTTGTAGCTAGGACATGTCCGGAGGCCAGAAGCCATTAGGCGGCATTGGGACATCGGCGTGGAAGTGGGTGTGACCTCAGACGGATGAGTGTGGCTCGTTGGCACCAGTGCTGCAGCAACCCGTTCTCAGGCATGCCTGCCACTTTGCTCACGGAGATCAAGCGGACGATCGCAGTCGTGGATGCCAGCCTCTTTGGGAACGACTGGATTGACAGCCGAAAGGCCTTGCTCTAAGTCGGACCACTGCCGTCCAGCGACAGAGTCAGAACCATGCGCCGAGGCGTCTGCTAGGAACGAGCAGGGCATGCCGCTGCCACACAAAGGTGGCACTCCCACGCTCTTTGAACGCTCTCTTGACTGATGCAAAAAAGCTCGGAACTGTGAGGCTTCGAGACGGTTGGCCAGCTTCTAGCTGAGCAGGTCGAAAAGGCCGACCTCGTGCACCAAGCTCAGAGACCGAAGACGTATAAATTCTGACAGCGGCGCCCCGGGAGTGAGGTTGATGAACAAGATTGATCTCGCCAGTGATGAGGAAGCAAAGACCACCGAAGAGGCTCCAACCGGGCAGTGCTGTAGCATTTCCATGCAAACCCAACCATTCGTTCGCAGTCGGAACCCCCCGCTCTTCGCAAGACTGCAGTGAGAGGGTTTGCTGCTGTCACTTGAGGTGCTGAGGGCAATCAATGGCGATGCTGATGTGATTCGATGCAGCTACGGCAAGGCCAAAGTCTCGCTGGTAGATGGGTCACGTGCTGCTTGCAAGAGTCGTTGCAGGTGAGCCCCATCGAATTGCTCCCGGAGATCCCCGAGGGGATCAAGTATCCCGAGTTCGGGCGAGGACTTTGAAGGGTGGCGAAAGGGGAAAGTACAAAGTGCCGCAGACGAGAAAGTCCTGACTGCTTTTCTGACTCTGGGTTTTCGGTTAGCTCCTGTTGCTGAGTTTCTTGTGTAAGCTTCTCGGCAATCCGATGCTGATATTCGTCTTGGTCCGATGTGGTCCCGGAGTCCAGCTCCACACCCTCGAAAATTAGACGCGGACAGTAGGCAGTACCCTCAATCAAGTTTCAGCCCAAACTTTAATGCTCTTCTCAAGCTCTTTGGGAGTTCTAGCTCCTGTCCAGAGACTTGAAAAATTGGACAGGACGGAACTACCGTTGGGCACAGAACCCTCAAGTTCTGCAGCTCCGCGTCAAGGCCATTCCTGACCGTCGAGCGTTTTCTCCCCCACCGCAGCACGGCCAGGTTCCTGCCGACGCCAAGTCGAAGGACATCAACTTTGACATCGGCCGAACTTGGCTACAGATATGGGTGGGCATTGGAACAGGGTAGCCGTACCCAAGATCTTGTCGATCTGCGTCGGAAGGTGCAGGGCGAGCAGGTGCCTCGACTACAAGGAAAGCTCTTCGGTCGGCTGAAGGCGTCGATCATAGATAGGGTTGTTCCCAATTACATGCTCAACTGTCGGTGAAGCGGCGTGAAGCTGCCGTGCCCGATAAAGGATACGAATGCCTGTACCCTGCCGGGGCTCATTCTGAGGCTTGAGATCCCCAAACTCGTGGTAGAGGGCCAAGAGTCGACATTGGAAAATACCCAACTTGCGCACGGCTCTCCGCTCTCCTGTACGGAGCTTCGATGCGTCTTAAGAGGTCTTGAAGGCCTGTCTTCTAACAGAGCTGCGGCTAACGCTCATCTAGTTTGACGAGAAATTCCACGAGTCAGACATCCCCGTCATAGCCCCGTTGTTTTCCCAGACTGCATCCGCGGCAGGGAATCGAGGAATGGATTTGGGAGCTGGAGGGCGAAGGCAGGAGACCGAGAGCTGCGATGCTACTATGCCTGCTATGCAATGCAACGTACGCGATCTAACGCCACCTCTCGCTGTTCTTGCAATGGCCTGTCTGCTGCGTCTACAGTGTCTACAGCTCCAACATTCTATCCTACTTCTGTCGTTGAGATGCTTGCACTCATTGGTATGACTGGAGCATCTTGCGACGCAAGCGCAAATGAAGCTTGAGCAATGTGCATCGGTTTTGCGTTGAAGGAGTTCGACAGATGCAAGCAGGGAGTCCCTTCAGAAGATAGGCCGTGCCGGTTCGCGAGGCGATGACCGTCATGTCGCGGTTTTTCTCGAGAAGAGCAAGGAGGCCGTCTCCGACCTTTGTGCAGCTTTTCGTAGTGTGGGTGAAGGAGTGAAGGGATGTCCCGAAGCCGCAGGGCATGTGGGAGGACATCTGGCAGAAAGACCTGCCCGATGAGCCGGCGCAGTGTTCCAAGTGACCGTTTGAGCGCTCGCGGTCTGCAGAGGAAAAACGTAGTAGAATCGTAGCCACGGTAGCCAAAGGCAAGAGCACGAGCCGGTGGCGGCGGCAGAGGAACTCGCGGAGGGCGGTCCCGGGGTGGCCCGTGGAGGTGGGCATGTTCGCAAAAAGTCTGGCATCAGCCCGAGTTGAGCGTTGGGCCGAGGTGCCCAATCTTCCCGGGGCAGGCAACGACATTTTGCGAGGCTCATGCAGAATCGATCAGCCGGGAACTGATGAACATCGATCTCCACAGGAACGGCCGTGCAGCTGGCAGAAGATTTGGCTTCGAACCTACGAATTTCTCTCCACTGCTTCAGACATCGAGAGACTTACCTTAGGTTAGTAGGGAATGGAAGAAGGGTAGTAGTAGTTATTATATGTTATTATTGTACCCCATTCCTCCATTCCCTACTAACCAAAGGTACGGAGAGTTGTGGTTGACGTCTTTGTTTTTGGCACATGACACAAAAGCGCAGAGCCGAGGCATCCGAACCTTCACTTACGAGCGACGCAGGCCTTTCAGCGCAGTCCGCCTGCAGAGGCGGCCCAGAGAGCTCCGTGTCGCGAGAGCGCGGGGGGGGACGACCCGTGGAGAGGTTGATCGAAGATTGGCCCTTGCCGCGGAAGAAGCAGGCTTTCGGCTTGGGCGAGCTAGAGGCCGGAGGGAACCGGAGGCGGTTTTCTGAAGAATGTCACAGAGAAAAGCCGAGGTGGCTGCAGAGGTCGAGGGCCTTCAGGCAGGGACCCCTCGTCTTCGCTCTCTTACGGTACTGCGATGACTAATTCAAGCTGCAGAAGGCGCTGAAGCCCATTCTGCGGTCCAAAGGATTCTGCTGGGTGGACTCCGAACCTTTTCGGGCATCTTATCTGCTTTGTTTCTTCGAGCCCATGGAGCTACCTTCCTCACCCGGAGCACGCTCAGGTCAACGAGTGGTCTCACGCGGGCAGGTCTCTGTCGGTGCTTCCAAAGGCAAGCGGGGGGTCGGCAACGGCATTAACACAGAGGGTTTGACGACAGTGGGAGGACTGGTGGTGGGCCGTCTTGAAGCCGGATCAGTTGAACTTCCAAGTCTGTCTTTCGCTTGGTGCAGTGGGGGAACATCCGAGTTTTTCCTTCCCGGTCTGCTTTCTCATCAGGTTACCCCGGTGCGAAGGCGCAGTTTGAGCGAGCGCGCCGGGAGAAGTGGCAGGCGTGTTTGCTCCTTGAGTAAGCGCTGCCCTAGTCGGGACGTCGTGCAGGAAGAGTGGGGGGACAGACGGCAAGAGCTTGTCTTTATCGGTGGGCCGGACATGCGCGAGCAGTGCATTTCCAAGCACCGATCCTGGCTAGCCTAGCTTGTCCCGATGCCGAGCCCCCGTAGCTTCGTTGATATGACCGAGGATTCTGGACAGCTGCTTGCTCCGGGACTCCGAGCTGGAGCAGTTCAGAGAAAGCACGCATCCCAAGTCTTTGAGCGTAACTGTTCAACTCGCAGCAACTCCTGGCAGGCACGGCAGATACGTATCCCCCTGATACCTACTTCGGTGTCGAGGCAGCATGCTAGGAATGCACGCATATCTGGATCAGGCCAAGAGTTGTCACCGGTCAGATTTCTGTGAGGGCCTACTTCGCCAAATGGGGGAGGACCCTGCAGCTTTCGCAGAAGGTGCCGCAGAGTCATTCGGAGCCTTGAGGCCACGTTCGTTTTGTGGCAGGTTCTCAGTCAGATTCCCAGGCAGAAGTCCTCAATGGCTCCAGCGATGCATGCACCTCAGCCACCCAGAAGGTGGGGTTTTCTCGGTTCTTTACTTCTGCCTGCTTGAAGGCAGGCACCTACGACGTGGAGCTGTCCCAGCCAGAGCCAGAAGACCCTAAACCCGATTCCACGGGCGAAAGTGCTTGCAACTCAGGCTCAGCCAGGTTGAAAAGGAGTCCTTCCAGCTCTGTTCCTGTAAGGCAGGAGCCCGCCAGGCAGTGCTGCTACCCGAGGCTGACGATAGCGAGTTACCGGTTTAAAACAGGTGCATTGCGGTAGTTGTTGCCGATTTCACTTGGCCTGTTGGCCTGATGCTCCTGCTTTTGCTAGCCTGACTCTCCGGCATGTGCCGAGTCGGCTCAGAACGCCGCAGCCATCGGCGGGTCTGGGCGGCAGCATGGTGCCATGGTGCGTGTGCAGATGGCTGGAAGAGAGGCTGCTCGCCGCTGCCCTCCTCCTAGTCCTGCTGGCGAGTGCTGCTGCCGGAGAAAAATGCGATCTAAACATCCCACACAGGCCCAGACAAGGGCAAACATTGAAACTTATCAAGCGCGACTGGGCCTCTCACCAGCTTGTCACGGAAGTCGCGGCTATTCTACTGGAAGAGATTCTTATGTACGACGTTGTCCGCGTGCATCCGGACCTAGGCCCTGTTCATGATTTCAGAGCGATTTCTCTGGGGGAGGCGGACGCAAACTTCGAAGTTTGGCAGGGTGGTAAAGAGGCACAAATAGAGGAGTGGGTTCGTCGTGGCGATGCTTTCGTGGCGAACTCTCACAGCACGGTTGCCGCCAGTGGCCTGTACACGTTGAAGCATACCGTGGACAGATATCCTGAAGCTGCCTTCTATCAATATTTGCAGACTCCCAGGCTTCAGTGGATATTTGCAAGACAGGAGGTTGCGGGCGAGGCTGCCGCCGATCCCACTGGCTTGTGCGCGGATCCAGAATGGAACTGCACCAACTTCACGTGGCAACCACCGGCCTGCCGGGAACACAAAATGCGCTGTTTGGGTCTGGTCTTCCATGACTACACGCACTACACGCAAGGCATTGAAGTGATTAGACAACCCATACTAGTACCTTCCTCGCATACACATCAGCATCGAGTCCTATCCGCGAATAGCTTCAGGAGAGGCAAGTAATCTTTGCAATTTTACAACTTATATATCCCAGGATGCGATACTTCAAAGGGGATGGACAGCCCTGAGCACACTGGCTTCCAGAAGCATTTGCCTCTTTCGGAGGTTCTGAAGAACTTGATGCTTGAAACCGAGAGTGCCTAGGTCTTGAGCAGTGTATACAAAAACATCGTGTCTTCAAGTTAAGCTCCGAGAAAACGAAGTCCTCATCATCGGAAATCTCGTCTTCGGAAGATCTGTCACCGAAAAATTCGTTACCAAAAGGCTTGCTGCCGAAACGTTCGTCATCGAATTATTGTTTTTTCGAGAGATTCGTTATGGAAAGGTCGTCGTGGCGACAACATCTGAACGAAGCAGTTCTGCGCTGGTGCCCTCCTCATGCAAGAAGAAACTCCCGCGATACGTAGGCTCTCTCTGCGCAGGGCTCCCGAAAGTCGCATCGTGCAAGGGGAAACCTCGAAATTCGCCCCTAATTTTGCCCCTGGAGCGACTCAGGGGACATGCTCCAACATATGCCAGGCATTCTTGAGCAGCAAATCGCCAACAATGCCTTGCCGCTGGCCGTGCAGTACCTGACCACCGTTTCCAAGGAAAGGGAGATTTGGGAGGCTTACGCTTCGAAGCGCGACATCCTGTTCCAGCATCACTACCCAGATGCCGGTCCCTCCTCTTGTATCAGTCCACTCAAGAGCTTTCTTTTTATGTGAGACCCTGGGCTTCCGTAGGCTTATTCTTATTCCGCAGGCTCCTTAAGGCCTTACAGTAAGGAGTGGATGGTGTCCCCTCAACCAGCTTCGTCCCCATCCACTTCGCACCGAAGAAGTACGGCTGCAACTCCACGGAGACCCGCTTCCCTACGGGAGGGTTTGAGTGTCGCCTGGACGGGAAGCCGCTCGAGATCCTCGTGTCACCAAAAGTCGAAGCGTCTCCGGACGCGAAGCATTTCGCCTCGAGGTTTCGATTGGACGACAAGGACTACGAGAAGCTTTTCCAAGCCTGGCGAGATGCGGACGGGAATGCGAAAGTGGCAGCTTGTAGGTGGCTGCAGCGTGAGGGGACCAAGAGATGGGGGAGCTGGATTAGGTTCAGCAAGCAGGTCCGCATGATTGAGCACTTTCCGCCGATGACCGGCTGCTTCCCGACGTTCTACCTTTTTCTACTCTTGTCACCTGGCAGATAAGTCACAAGTTGAGATGTCTGTTTCACAGCCGCAAGCTGGTGGGTTTCAAGGTCACAACCGGTACCCTTACGCAGTTTCTGGTTTTGGTTCTTCTTTGTCTGTTTACCTGTGTTGTCTGTCGGTCCGTCTCTGCGTGTGTGTGTGTGTGTTTATTTCCGTGTGAGGGGTGAGTATCCAGAATCCAGAATAGCAGCTCGACAGGTAGCTGGTCTAGACTTGCACCTCAGGACGGTGGGAACGGCTTTCCTGTTCAAGTTGCCACGGCTGCTGTGGACCTGCAAGAAGCGGTGTCGCCGGACTTGTCAAGCCCTGAATCCGAACTGGGAGCCCACGGACTTGTCGGACATTGACAGGCGTCAGAAAGATCGAGCTCTGTACACTCGGGCAGACTTCACCTCCAAACTGGTCGCCTGCAAGCACGCCCAGTTCGTGGAGGTGAAGATGGCACTTCTGAAAGGCTCGATGGGCTTTGCGAGCTTCTATCGTGATGAAGAGAACTTCTGCCTTGGTAACGGTGAGTCAAGCATCCCACCGCCCGCTGGATCATGTTTCCGGCAGATCTACACCTCGCCACTGCAGGTTCTAATCTACATCATGACTTCCGGGCTCATGCGGACAGCATTTAGTGCGTTGACCTTTGCTTTTGCCACTGGGATGGTCGGGGCATTGTTGGCGGAAGTCAGAACAACCATCGACAAGAATAAGCAAGTCGACCCAACTCTTCAGGACGAAGATTGGTACACGTTGTTCCTGATGAACATGCAAACAGTGGCCTCAATCATGGACGATTTTAAGTTTCTACCAACTTTCTTCATCACGTATATGATAGGGCAGGATGTGACTCGGTGGCTGAAGTGGCTTCAGACAATGCGGCTTAGCTGCACCCAGGAAGTTGCAGAGCTGGATGGTCACATAGTCCCATTGATAGGGCTTTGGGTATAAGGCTGGGAAGTAGGTCTGGTACCATTGCCATGCTAGAAGCTGGTGACATGCTGGCCATCTTTCCAGCTAAGTTTGCGGTTCTCCTGTGGATGGTTTGCATTAGCACAGCGCCAGGTTCAGCATCCAGGGTCGACTGCACGACCTTGGCTTGGTGATTGCAAGCTCGTACCGCAAGCTGAACGATCCATGTGTGGGAAAGCAGCAACGGCAAATGCTGTTCAAATGGTACAGGTATCTCAATGCGATACACTACTTGGCCTATTTCAAGCTCGATCCCCGCATAGGAACGTCGCCCGACCAAGTTGTACAGGACATGTGAAAGTCAGCGGTATTTCGGGTGTTTCTGCAAGCATGGCTGCTTCTGCAGGGGAGGTCTCTTCAAAGTGGGAGGGGCTTTCTGCTTGACAGGACCTTCGGACCATGGGCTTGCTCGTGGACAGCGAGTGTTACCAGATACTGATGGCCAGTGCAAAGCTACGAGACACCCTCGTTTCCTGGCTTGGTATTCTGTGGCACGACGAGCTTGAGCGTGGCTTCGTTCAGGTAGCGGACTCGGATGTATTTATGCGAAAAGTTTGTGACCTGCGCGGTATCTTGGCTTCCCTAGCAGACATGCCAGACATGCAAACGTCGGGCCCTAAGTTGTTATCAGGCACAAGAGGAGCACGACAGGGCTTCCGAAAGTGTGAATCTAGCAAATCTAGCAAATTCTGAGGAGCCAGCTGGTTCGGGTTATGATGGTGGTGGTTACGAACATCTTGCTGGCGCTGGCCTTGGTTGGTTACCCGACAAAGATGTACGAAGAGACCAAGCAGTGCTTCCAATTTTGGCCATTGGTCGCTTCCTACTTGTACTACGTTTGCTACAGGGGAATGCTCCATGTTATGTTTATGTTGGACAAAGGGCCTTTCTATGGCAAAGGGGACTGTGTCAACGTAGATGCTCTTCTTGTCAGTACAGAGCGCTTCGCCTTCCATGTGTTCCGCACATCCTTCCAGGCATTGCCGTCTGAGTTCAGATACATTCGAAAGCATGATGAAATTCGCCCTCTTAGAGAAAGCTACACAACTGAATGATTAATTCGGCCGCTCTGGCTTTCTGCAACAGTTTAGTACGGCTAGATGCTCCGTTCTGGCCACCAGATTTTTTCAGTTGGCAGGCTTCTCTATGAAACCCTGCTTTATTGATAATGAAACCAGCAACCGCTGACTGCCAAAGGAGGCAAGCGCGATGAGGCTAGCTGCTGCATTTGAATAAATAGACACGACGAGATACACGAGCATGATGTAAAGTTTCGGTGTCAGCGACGGTGCCACTCGAGCTCACGTTGACCTGCTGATCTGTCGAATTCGAAGAGCCACGAGAGCCTCTTCATGCAGAGCTTCGAAAGATCTCGATTACGAAATGCTGCTTAAACTGTGCCTAATGGTCGTCACACCGATGGCCCGCAGGCCGAAGTGTAGTAGTCTGCTGCATGCTGCTACAGCTGCTACATCCTGCGCAGCCACCGGGGCTCGTCAGGGAGGTGCCTCCCGCAGAGCCCCTGCATCTCCGCCTCAATGATGCGAGTCTGCGGCCCAGGGAATGGGAACACAGTAAGCCCGTTTAAGAGTCGTACCTCCCCCGAAGCCGCTGAGGCACTGAGCTTGGCCTTTCTGGGGCATCTAGCTCTCTTCGAGGCCTGCAGATACATGCGAAGAGCGTGTCTTTGTTCTCCATGGGAGCAGGCCAGCCCTGTGCTCCGGAGTGGCTCCTCCCTCAGCAACGGCCGCCGGGGAGGCGGAGGGGAGTCCTGTTTCGAGCCTCCGTGGAGGTCCATCCAAGCTGGCTTCTGAGGAGGAGGCGAAACGCGACACGCGCACGAGCGAGCTGCGATGCTGCCTTTGGAGTCTTCTGAAGGCATCGGGATGGCTGGGCCTCCGCAGTCTCTACGCCAAAATGGAGACGTCCCTTTCTGGACTGCTTGGCGAGGCTCCACACCAGGCACGAGAGGGATTTGGGTTGGGGGTCAAGTTCTTGGGACTCCAGTCTGCATCCCGAGTTCATCCCCAACTAGGAGCACGAAGAAGCGCAGAAGGCCCAAGGGGATGCCAACGAGAAGCAGGATGCCGGAGTGGTGGTGGAGACAAGGGTTCTGTCTATCAACAACAAGACGTCTGCTGAGAAGCCCAGCATGAAGACGCTGGAAGCAGAGGGGGAGAAGAGGAATTTCACAGTCCACATGTTATCAAACGATGTGACGCCGAACAAATCCTCAGCTCCGAAGGTGAAGATAGTTCCAGAACCGACCAAGGCTCCCAGCAAAGACGATTTCGTGGTCCACATCAAGTCTTTGGAGCGAGTGGATGGTAAGAAGCCTTTCCGGCGACAATCCAAGTCTCAGCGCACCACAACGCCTGCTACGACGACAAAGGACAACGTCCAAATCAACATCTGGACAGTTACCGATGCACCACCTTCCAAAAGCGAAGTGAAGCCTTCGCGTTTAGAGTATGATAGCAGTCCATGGGCCAACGATTGGGGCGCGGAGCTGAGTGCTCCACGAGGCAACCCGAGCTTATCCAACCCAAACTCGAAGCTTGAGGTGACGAATGGAAACCGGAGGCGGATGCTCCCAAAGAGCACCGAACGAAGGACCGATGGACCGAGCTGTGCTGCATTGAAAGCCCTTCCTGCTTGGGAGGAGCTGCCAGTGTACGAGCAATCCTTCCAAGGGTGAGCCAAGAGCTGACCTCTCCGACTTGTGACCTGTCTGAGATTTCCATTAAGGACCTCTGCCCCAGCCGGCCCCATCCGTAGACGCTCTGACCAGGGGATCCTGGCGAGCACTTGCAAAATGGCGAGCTGCGCTTGTTGCAGTCTGCCTCCATGCTCGCACGTGCCCATGTGTCCATGCTTATCACAACATTACATATGCCCGGTTCAAGCATGCTCCGGCCTGTTTTATGTTGGCAGTTTGCCACTGCATGGTCCAGCCAGCAGCTCTGGGGACATCGACCGCACGCCGCTCTCAAATTCTTCGGCCCCTTGCAACAGGGATCCTTCAGCTGCTTTGACGGATCTGCGGTTCTTGAAAGCGATGCTGTAAATGACGACTTCTGTGATTGTGCAGACGGATCCGATGAACCTGGAACATCTGCCTGTGCTGGTGTCGGTCTTTTCTACTGCCGTAATGCAGAGTCCATTCCAAAGTTGATCTACTCGTCGCATGTTGCAGACGGCATCTGCGATTGTTGTGACGGATCCGACGAGTGGTGGTCTTCAAGTTGCCCAAACACCTGCAGCCTTGAGGGGCCTGCACTTCGAGCTCAGCAGCAACTTGGCATCGAAGCACCTCATTGCTGTCCAGGCTTTCCAGTTTCCTGAACATGACCGTAGGCAGCGGCCCCCATCTTGCTAGGCAGTAGGCAGAGGCTGCCAGACGCGACAGTGCGGGAGGCAGGCACTGAGAGCAGATCGCCAGCGGGGCCGAGAACTTCGTCGAAGCGGCGAAGCGGAGGCCTTGAAGCAGGCACTCGACATCGGAAGATTTGTGCTGTGGGGTTCTGTCCTGCCCTTCACTGGCAGTGGTACCGGTACTGGTACTAGTACTTGTATTTTGTATTGGAGCTGTGTATTGGAATCATGTCCTGACATTGCAGTTGAACAAACGAGATAAACAGCGAAACAAAAGCCGGAACAAGCACAGAAAAAGCTGCTCTTCGGCTAGAGAAAAGCGGAAAGCAGCATTGACAAAGGCTGAACGGCAAAGCGCATGCGAAGACGAGCATCCACTTATTTGTTTAGCTTTCCCGAGGAAGCCACAAATGGCTGGCGCTATTCTGGCTAAGTAGATGCTCGCCTTCGCATGCACCGGCTGTTCAACCATTGTCTGTGTAGCCTGATTTCAGCTTCTTTTTTCTTTCTTTGCAGCTATTTTGGCTTTTTTTGGACCGCCGCATTCTGGGCTGGGGACTGCCTTGCGGGCAGCTTTTCTATGCTTTCTTCTCAAACCGATAGCCACTTTGCTCTTTTAGATCCTTGCAAACATAGCAGTAGGACTTAGTGGTCGCGATAGGTTAGTGGTAGCGGCACTGGTAGTGATCATGGTTTGGTAGTAGTGGGGCTTGGCCAAATTACATTCAGGAGGTTAAAGTGACCCCGCTGGCTGCCTGAGAGTCATTTTGGGAATACGCGTCACCTCAGTTGAAGGGAATCTCACAAAGCTGTGGCATGCGCCAACGTTGATGCATTGGACGCCGATACTACAGCTTTGATATGGCTTTGGTGCATGTTTCCAGCATTTGGTAATCTCGCCAATCGATATGTGCCTGTCGGAAACATGTTTTCTCCGAAGTCACAGCTTCTTGGCTTGTCCTGGACTGTGCGGTTTTGGCGGTTCATACTCGTTTGGCATCTCCTCCCGTCTATCCCGGCAAAACTGTCTTCGTCCTCCGTATTGCAGAGAGCATTACCTGTTACCTGTTGGCCCAGGCCCAGTCACAGAACGCTTCGAACAGACGAATCCCTTATAGACCCCTTTTAAGGAACCCTCGACTCTAAGGGAACCCTATTCTAATAGTGAAGGCCCTATGTTAGAGCTTGAATAATGTGTATGGTAAGCTCTGCGGCCGGCAGGGCCTTAGGTAGTGCCTCCCATCCTTGTCTTTCGGAGATGACAAGGTAAGCAAAGAAGCGGCTTAGGGTACTAGTACCAAGCCCAAGGGCCGTGTTGTTAACGCTTCGATCTGGCAGGTTGCCAAATGGCGAGAGGAACAGGAAGGCCTCCCATTTTCAGATTGACAGGCTGCTCCTTAGTCCTTTGCTCTCCCTCCCACTGTCAGGTTTGAAGCAGCTGCTCGCCAGCGCGGCCAGCGCCAGCGCCAAGCAACCAGCAGTGGACACTGTGGCCTCTCAGCCCGGAGGACAGCCGGGAACAAGCGGAAGTCCGGCGGTCTCTGAATATGCGCGGTGGGCTCTACAAGCTGTCCCGCAGCGGGTCCCCGAGCACAGCTCAGTCGAGTGCTGGGTGGGAGAGTTTGCAAATGCAAAGGAGGTCTGCTGCGACAGGAGTCAGGGACCCCTCGGAAGGTCGCATTGCTGGGACAGCATTTATACCTTCGCGGCATGCTGTGGAGAATCTGGAAGTTCCGATGGTGCACAGCGTGTACACGAGCAAGATGCGGAAGAGGTAGCGAGGCAATCTCGGAAAGTAAAAGGTAGGCTCTTTACCATCGAAAGGAAGCTTGCGGCGGTGGAGAGTGGCCTTCGATGGTTCTCCTTGATAGAACAATGCGTCGAGAGACGGTTCTTGGGCAAGGACTTCAAGCTCTGCTTCTTCCAAGATGTGCGACAGGGATCCGTCCACGTTGGCAGTTTCGATGGCTGGGAGGGCAAGGCCATGTTGTACACTGGAGGCCAGCGGTGTCCAGCTGGTCCTGCACGTTCCATGAAAGTCTGGCTGACTTGCGCTGGAGAAGTGGGGTCGCTGAGCTTGATGCTTGATGTTGCAGTGAGGAAGGCGAACACTTGTTTGTTCCGCAGGTGCTGAATGATTCATCTGAGGTTGCTGGATGTTTCAGAGGTCTCGCTTTGCACCTACGAGGCCGTCGCGACAGCGCCTGGTGCTTGTGAGGTGGACCTCGAACCAGAGGATGACGAACTGGTTCTCATGCCACATGATGAGTTCCGAGAGGTTAGCTTGTTGCCCAAGGGATGACGACCTGCTGCCTGGTGCTGGGTGTGACCCGGCGGAAAACTTGCTTCTTGCATGGCGAAGTGTGGGGTTCGTGTTGATGTCCTGCTGTTGCCGAACAACTGCCAACGCCACGTCTTCAGCTTCAAAGAGAGCAACATGGACGAAGCTGCGCTCCACTCCAAGAGTGCATGAACCAACATCTCGCACAGCCCGAATGCGAGCTCATGCGAGGGCATCGCCTGACAGTTGTGATTTCTCCAAACAAACTTTACCAAGCAGATGAGTAAGCTAGATGAAAGTATTGAGGATCAGCCGGTGTTTGCCAACCGTGAAGCCTTGCTGCTTTAGATCAGAAGCAGTTATCTTCGAACTCATGTGCCACGGCTTTTCCAGCAGCGTCACGGCTAGCTTTTCCGCTTGAGCATAAGCGGCAATGCTTGATGCCGACGAGGACAGCATTGCCTGGTCATGCAGGGTTTGTGTTTGCAGCTGACCTTTGTAAGCTCCCATCGTTTGAAGCACAAAATCTGACTCCCTCCTCGAGCTATTACTCGAGAATGGAAGCCGAGAAGCTTGCGGCAGGATGATGAAGTGGTCGGGGAACTCCGGCAACAGACTGCCCCCAGGCCTTGTCATGGGAGTGGTATTCTGCTAAGCCAGCAGTATGTTCTACTGCGCAGGCCGGAGTCTGACATTGCGGGGATTCCGGATAGTGCACAGAGTCAGGACAGGCACGGAGATGGAAGAAGCCTCGAGATCTTGGTGTTTGGCATGATACAGGTAGAATTGCTCCTGCTGCGAGTGGTTTGTTTGCGTTCGTCTGAGACTGGTGGTCTCGCTTGCCAGGAGACCATCGTTGTGAGCGCAGCAGCGGATGAAAGTCGCTCCAAAGAGACTGCCCTTGTCCAAGACAACGGCACGCAGGCCAATCGCTGCTATTGCACTATACCAGACGATACTCTACCATACGATACCACGCCATGCCATACGATGCCATACTAGAGTATGGAATACCATCGTATGCTATAGTATACTGTAGTATGCTATAAGTATAGTAGTATGCTATAATATGCTACATTATACTTGGCTCGACTATAGCACAGGCCGTCCTCTGCTGCACAATCCTAAGCCCTAAACCCTCATGCAAGTTGTACTGAATTGCACTGGCGCAGGTTTTTCTCTGGCAGAAACATGAGGCCAATCATTTCATGACAATAAGTCCGACAAGTATAACAAAGATAGGGATGGGGGCAGAAACAGCAAGGGCAGGGCAGGGCACGCAATCAATCCAACCACAAAGCAAAAGCAAACAACTGCCCAACATTCATTCAAAACCAAACAAAAATCTGCACCCAAACGCTATACAACTTCTGTAAGCCCTACTTAAAGGATCATGGGACTTAGTAACTAGGCTTATAATTAGGGTAACTATATGTGTCACCCCAAATAAACTACTTATAACCTTACTTACTAAGTCCCATGATCCTCCAAATAAGGATCCTTTAAGGGTTCCCTAAAGGGATAGTTTACTATGGTATACTATACTATAGGATATAGAGGATGATGGTAGAAGGATTGAGGGTTAAGGGGATTAGGGGTTTAGGGGATCTTGGGGATCTTCGGAGATCTTAGGGGTGCAGGGTTTACCGAAGACCCCTTTTATAGATCCCTTTTAAGGAGCCCTTTAAGGAACCCCTATAGTTACTAAGTCCCATGATTTAAGTAGACCCTAAACCCTAAACCCTATAGACCCCTTTAAGGAACCCCTATAGATCCCTTTTTAGGAACCCTTTAAGGAACCTTAGTTACCAAGTCCCATGATCCTTTAAGTACATCATTGGTCTATACATCCTATAGTATAGTATACCATAGTAAACTATATCCCTTTAGGGAACCCTTAAAGGATCCCTACATCATTTCTTCGTCTCTCCAGGACAGGAGCGGCAGCCGATCCTCCGGCGCGTCGGCCCTCGAGGAGCTCCTGAAGTCCCAGGCCTTCCGCCGTTTTTTTTTGGTTTTTGGTCAGTAGGGGATGGAAGGGGCCTTATAAGGGATCTATAAGGGTACTGTAATATCGGGGGCCTTAATATCTCTATAGCTTTTTTGCTCTACTTTCAGGATGCTGTGGTATAGGGTACTATAGTATACCATAGTATACTATCGTATGGTTTATTATGGTATACTATACTATAGGATAGGGTAGTAGAGTAACAGTATAAAATGATGGTATACTCTACTACACTGGTGTGCGACTGTGGGCTTGTGGCAGCATCTGCGTGCTTCAGTCGGTCTCCACAGTTGCAGGCTTCACCTATGGAGCGGGGGCGAAGCGCACGAGACGGTGAGCCTTCCACGTCAAACTTGCTTGACCTCTTCGAGAAGGACCGGCAAAGGGCTACTGTGTGTGTATTCAATGCGCCTCTCCGAATTCGTCGGCTTGGTGGAGGAGCTGCCTCGTGACAGACGCACTTCCTTTTCACCCATGGCTGCCGAAGACCACATCACCGAATCGCTCCCAGCGTCCCTGTCTACAGCCCTTACACAAGCACGCATGGCGCGCGCCACAGCCGCCGCGGAGCGCGCCGAGCGTGCCAGCGGCAGCCGCAGCACCAGCAAAGACTCTGTGCTGACGGATCGCTCGCTGGCCCCCCCTGATCGGATATCCAGCAGAGCAAAGGACGGTTGGGACGGTTGCTTTCAGCGGAGTGCTGCTAGGGTTGCTTGCCTTTCCACTTTCTACTCTCTGACTCTGTCGCAGGACATGTTCAAGAAGGGCGTAGTGTCCTCCATGAGCTCTGTGACTTCCCAGGCTCCATGTGGAAAGTGTGAGGGCTCGGAACGTGTCATTGAAGCGGCGATAGCTGCACCAGGCAGGCGCTCGGTCTTCGACGTCTGTTCGTGCCGGCAGCTGAGCCGTTGGGTTTGGATCCCGTGTTTGCCGTCCGAAGATGAGAAGCCCCTACAAGGGTCCTTAAAGGGGCAACATCTACCTCTTCGTCTGGCTACCCGGAAGATGTACCTGTTCAGGTGCATGGGAAGTCATGTAAACGGTGCGGATCTGCATTCTGGCGGTTTCACGGAGATTACATGGGTTAAATAGACCCAGCGTGGGATGCCTTTGTGCTGGAATGCATGTATCGTGTGATCATGATGGAGCCTGAACATGCATCTGCATCTGAGTCTACCATGTGAAACCACGCAGATTCCTTGTCTAGCGCCTTCGGGCCTAACCTTATCAACTCCCTGTGTAGCCTTGTCCTCTGCTCACTACATGACCGTTGCTGGTACATCGATCGTGTGGAAATACTTCTTAATGCAGACTACCTCGACACCGTTTGTATCCCTTTCATGTCCGCATGCATGTCTCCCAAGCAGGCACTCCTCAGTTTCGGCGCGAGATTGCTCCTCTGTGGCCCTAGCCGTAGAACCTGTAACCTTTTGCATATTTCCTGCGCACTTGTCTCCACTCCCCTAACGGCCTCCCCATGTGTGAGGAGAAGGAGGCAGTCGTGTTTGCTTTTACCTGTGTACCTTCGGACTCTTCGTATTGGTCCAAGTAAGGCCTTCCCTCGAGAGCAGCTGAAGCGCATCAGCCTGCGGGGCCTGTTTATTTGCAGTTGCGCCCCCCCTGAAGTGCAGAGCACGGAACTTGGGCGACGCTCCAGGCGATGAAGTCAAGGAGATGAGGGAGAAGTACGAGGACTACAACTCGTAACCTCTGCTAGGAAGGCTCATGGACCCGCTTGCCAGGCCATGTTCGTGGAGAAGATGGAGTTTTTTTCTGTGGCCGATCGTGTCGCAAGGTGTGCTGGCCTCTGCTTTGTGCACAGCAGTTGACAAGCAAGTTTGAAGGATAGAAGTCTCGTTGCAAGAGCAACTTGGCAAAGGAGGCAAGGGAGTTACTGTGTGACCGTGCAACGTAGGACAGAGCTCAAGACACTCGCAGGTAATTTGATTAATGCTCTCAAAGCGCTGAGAACGGAGAGCAGGCTCAGGGTCTTGTTGTCTCTCCCTACCGGCGGGATGCAATACGCGACAGGCAGCATCAGGAGGGTCATGATGAAGTCCTCGGTAAACTAGCAGAGATCAGCAGCCGGCTCAGAGAACAAGTTGGAACGAACCACCAAAGAGTAGCCTTCACTAATACTGTCTCGGTGATCTTGGCTCAGATGCTGCCACGGTCGACAACACTGCCCGCCTCCGCGATGTCTGCTTGGCTTGTCAACATTTCAGCACAGGGTCTTATGCATATGTGGCTCGACATGGTCCTCCAGCAGAGCACTTTTCTTTGCTTTGCTGCCAGGAACAACATCGTGTAGAGAACGCAGCAGACCATGCTTTTCGCACAGCAAAGAACTTGGAGCAGGCGGGCCCCTGGATGTATATGACGTACTTGTATCAAAGAAATTTTGTATGCAGCGGGCATGTTCCAAGGTCAGCAGCAATCTGACCGTGACCAGAGAGGCCATGTGGAAGCGTCGGCCGTCCTGTTTTTTGGGTTCGTCTCTATGTAAAGAAGTTGAAAGGCGTTGGGGGAAGACGTGGGACGCATGGCAAAGGCCGTGCAGGTGCAGGGATTGGGGGGCAGCAGTAGTTTCGATGTTCAATATTCCGTGTTTGTTCTCGGCGGGAGGCTTTAGCCACGGAGGTGAAGTTAATCGATGAGGACTCTTTCACGTTTCCTGGTGGTTGTTCTCTCATCCAGTCCGGTCTGCACGATTCCTCAAAGGAGCATCGCAGCTTCCGTTCACAGCAGGCACTTACGGAGCCACGAGGAAAGCCGCAAGCCTCCGCATTGCATCTGCGTGGAAGGAAAATGAAAGGGCGAACATGGAAGGCCGGCCCTACCTACGGTAGCAGTGTGCAGAGCGGCGTAGCTTTGCAACACTTTTACTCCAGAGGTGGAGATGGCTACAAGGGCTGGTTTGCCAAGGCTGTGTGCATGGAATGTTCGCAGAATGCTTGAAAGTGCATTGAATTTGTGCTGACAGATGAAACAACAGATGCAAGACCAGGTGCCCGTGTAGAGAGTGAACGCTTTCAACCTGGCCACTCTAGGGTCACCATGTTTCAGGAGTACTTGCATTCTGTAATGGTGTGTGCCCCTCGGTCACTTTGCATGTTGCAAGCCTGGTTTGATGGGCCTCAGGGGGAGTGTTTGGATCCTCTTGGCATGTGAGGCGTGATTTGCAGTACGTCAAGCAGCAGTTCGACTCCTGTGCGACCGAGGCACCGCCACAGTTCCAAAGTCTGAACTACTCCATAATCCCTTTAATCCTTTTGCTCCTCGGCTGAGGCAGACCTGCGAAAGGTCCAGGAAAAGCTGCAAGACGTGCAGGAGGAGAACGGCAGGCCACGGACCCCAGAGACTGGTCAAGCCGAGCCTATTTAACATTTGGGTGGTTGTCAAAACTATGGTTATTTTTTGGGTCCCTATTGTAATATGGCATATATTATTTAGGGTACCCCAAAAGGGACCAACATGTTGACAACCACCCATTTAGCCTTGGAAGGCTTCAGGAGTTCGTGCACGAAAAGTTCTTCGAAGTACAGCGGGGATCCAGAATCGCAGTCCATGTGGGCAGACGTGGTTTCATCAAACTGCAAGGGACCAAGAAAGACGTGAGATGATGGACAAGTTCGCAGCAAAGTGGGATCCGTGCGCCGATGCGCCATGTAAGTGAGGCAGAGTCTCAGAGTCCCGTCCTGTCAGCATCAGGTACAATAAAGGCCGGCTGCTGCGAGCCACCATGGACAACTGGGCTCCTTGCCGAGCGAATGGGGTGTTAGTAGGACAAGAGCTTTGCAGCTGAGTGCATTGAATTATTGCATGGTCCTGGTACGAGGCAAGCTTCGTCAAGCACCTGAACAAGACAAGGGAGGCAAGCTTTCTCACAAAGCCTGCTGCCCTTGGTAGCTTTCTATTGGAAAGGCTCTACGACGAGTCAAGCATGTGTACGTGCACTTCTCAGCAAGCTTCATCAGCACTGCAGCAGCTTTGAGACAGAGATCTAGCCGTCCAGGCCAAGACGCACGTCACCGCCCGCTTGAGATCGTGGTGGTACCCCGGATGAGATACGCCCGTGCAGTGCTGGGGAACGCGGACGTTGCAGATGATTTTTTGAGGTACTTGATGCAGAGGGATCACACCGACAGCCAGTTCCGAAGCCTCTCTGAAAATCTGGAGACGCAGGAGGCGAGAGGAGATGTGAGGGGAGGCTGCAGTCAGGCCCCACTTGTCTGCAGATGTCAGGCCAAGCTCGAGGGTGCCCGAGGAGCGCTCCTGAGGCACGAGAAGGTCACAGCCGAACAGGCAAGGTGGAATGCCCATTTGGGATTGAGAGTTTAGGGTTTAGGGTTCGGGGTCTAAGCATCCCATGGTCGGATTTGACCGCTTTCTGTTGCGACCCTCGGCCAGAGCCGAAGCCTCCAGTACAGAGTCCTTGCGGTCCCGAGCTCGGGATTCGGGAGCGCGCCTCCAACCCGCGACAGCCCTTCTTCGACTCGCTTATTTCTGACCCTTCGTGAGCCAAGGTCGAGAAGGGTCTTGAGGCGGCAGAGCGCGACAAGGCTGCACGGCTGCACGCCACCTTCGACCTGTGGCGCAGCTGTCTCTCCTCTCGGAGGCGACCAAGGAGGAGATGTTGGAGAAGTTCGGCTCCATTGAAGACCGACTTCAGAAGGACCCATATTATTTATATATACGCGAGCAATAATAGAAATAATAGTAACAATAGTAATGATAGTAAAAATAGTAAACACTGGCAATAATAGTAATAATAGTTATAATGGTAATAGTTAGTAATAGTAATAAGAGTAACAATAGTAATATTAGTAATAATCGTAATACTAGTATTTTAAGCATTGAGAACTTGACAAAACCGATTTCCTGGATGTCAGAACCAGTGCTGGATGTCAGGAGCTGTCGCTGGAGCCAATCCGCCAGGCCTTGGACGAGCTCCGGGCGGATGTCCGGCAGCTCCAGGCAGAGAAATCTCAAAGACTGCAATTGTAAGCCCTGGGGATATATGGAAGAGGACAGGTGGCCCACAGGTGGCTCGAACGTTTCGGAGCGATCTCTGCGCCGCAAGACTGCTGAAACTCTAGAAATCTCGCCTGCAACGAACATGTTGGACGAAGGCTTAGCAAAGCAGCAGAGCACGAAAGAACGAGTCTATGTCGAAATCCACCAGCACTGGACCGTTTGTTGAATCTTCTTACTCCTTGAAAAGAGCTTCGTTGCATCTCCAGGCCCAGAAAGTGGATGAAGCAGATGCTGCCCTGGACCGGGAGAAGGTAGGATCCTTGGGTATGCACTGAGTGTGCTGCTGCTCGGGGCAAATAGCTATGTGGCCATGTGTTCGCAACTACATCTGCCTAACAGCTTGCGGCTCTTCAGCACAGATCTGTGCTTGATGTGCTCTTAATTAAACCCCTTGATGTGGCGATGCCATGGCCGCTGCTTACCATCGCACGGCACTTACAGGAATCCCCGTGCGGCATGGCAGCATGTCCGTGAACCCTAAACCCTAAGGCCCTAAGCTCTAAAGCCCCAATACCCTAAACCCCTGACACCCAGGCGATGGTGCTGCTGCGCGTCACAGCTCGAGAAGTTGGCTCGGGTGCAGCACGAGGTTCCGCTGCCACTAAATTTACATAATGTGGTATTATTTAGTTAAGTATCATGTAGTATAACCTAATATAATATTTCACCGGATGTTTTGCACTTGCGTTTTCCCGCTTCTACAGCACCAGGACTGGGCATTGGACCCCTGTGGCATCTCCTTCGCAGTTGCCAAGGACACAGCGCGAATGGCGAGGCATTGCAGTAGAATACGGGGCTCTCGCGACAGGAGGGCTCCAGGAGGATGCTGCGAAGCAGGCTCGGTCCATTGTGAGGTGTGGCAGACGGGCCTTGACAAGCACTCGGAAGGTGACCGTAGCCGTAGACCTCGCCCGACGGGCAGCAAGCTGCTGTGCAGAGCTTCCGTCGGCCAGCAGCTCAGCTTCTTCTTGGCAGCCTTGACTTCGCTTGTCTGCGATGCCTGCAGGCCTGGGCGGAGACGCAGAGGCTTGGCCTGGTCCGGAATCGACGATAGACGTTTCGCAAGAGGCTTCCATGATGCCATCTGATGCCAGTCGCCAATCCTAGATGCAGTGCCTGCAGTAGTGTCACATGAGATAAAGACGCAGCAGAGGAGTGGTGGGAGGTCACCATGGACTTAAAACCGCACGGTTGAGCTTGCAAGCTGTGCCGTCTTGCATTAAAACGTTCTGCAGCTTCAGTCTGCACACTAGCATCTCTGCATGCTTGTGCCAGTTTGTGGCAATTCAGCGATGCCGTCGCCCAAGTGGTCCCTGCAATGAGCAGCGTGAGGGAGAATGAACATGGCCTCCAAAGCCTGGCATGCTCATGTGAAGAAGAAGCAAAACCCAGCTGACACCCGCTGCAAAGAGGGGTGGCCAAAAATCATGAAGGTGGAATAATTGAACTCTTGATCGCTTCCTAAGGCATAAGAGCAGGATTCGAAAGGTCACGATAAGGGTACCATAAAGATTACAAATTGTCGAGTTGCTATAGGGATCTTCGAATGTTACTACAAGATCACGAGAATTTGCTACAAGTATGACTGTCAGCTACCAATTTTTCGGCATCTCCAAACCCATCCGAAAGCTCGGTGTGAAGCTTCGCGCTGAAGCTGTTGTACTTCTTATTACTCCCTTCTTCTTACTCTAATGTGATTGGTCGCGGTCTTTCTGCAAACTTGTCCTTACTGTCCAAGCCCGGTGCAGACGACGGTGCGAGGAATGACAGGACTAGACTGTGCAGCGGAAGAAAGACATGATACACCCATCTTCCAGTGATGCTCAAGGCTTGGCCATCCCATGTGGCGAAGCTCCTCATTGCATTGACAGTACGCTCCTGTCTCTATCGGACGAAGCCTCTGACTTCGGGTGCCTTTTGGGAAGGACGGGGCGAGACGAGCTACGGAGACCTGCGGACCGGGCGCCGGGGCCTCTGAGTCGACCACGGCCTGGGCCTGGGCACCTCTTGGGCGAAGAGGCCGATGCAGCGCTTCGCTGGGCCGAAGCCGCGGCAGAGCGCTGCTGGTCCCCAGGTGCTGAGCCAAGGCGACTCGTCATGAATCCCCCTAGACCTTGCACCACTGCAGGCGCGGCATCTTCCCCCGAAGCTGCGAGCCAAGTCGATTGCAAACGTGACGGATTGAAAGATCTTGCCCTCCTGTGTCTCAGAGGCAGAGGCGGCCCAAGCAGCTCTGCAGGGCGAGCTGGAGTCGGCGGCATCTCTGGCGAGCGCGAGGACGCTGAGCCGTGCGCTGCCCGTGCGCTGTGCTTTCCGCAGCTTTGGGCCTTTTTGCACCAGATTTTAGGATGCTCGTGCCAGGACACGACAAATGCTCGCGACTGCCGAGCAGCTTGAGTCCGTGGGCGAAGAGGGAAGTGGGCTCGCCGCCTAAACGTCACCGGTCACGCCCGGATGTGTGGTGTGGGCACTGGCTTTGAAGGCAAGCTTTGGCCCAACTTCTCCGAAGCCTGTCTCTTGGCACGTGCGGGACCAGGGACGACTTGGCAGAAGACATGACTTAAAGGTGAAGAGCTTTTGAGGCCTGTGAACCGGATCCCGGAGTTCCAGGATGCTGCCATTTGCTAACCAGAAATTGCGACATGGCCGTGGCGCAAGGATGCAGAGCCTGGCCTGCTAGTTCGCTTCTTCTGTGCTGCTGCCTCAGAGGCATGTCTTCTGGGCTTCCCATCACCCAGACATGACCGAGGCTGCTGCATCCACCGCCCTGCTGGAACTGCGCACAATCAATTTGGTGGGGCGCAGAGATGCAAGGAGTTCTTTGACCGGCTGAGCTTCTGCCGAGCAAAGGCCGTGCACCTCACGTGGACCAGCCGGCACGAGGAGACCCCAGAGCTGCGCGAAGCAGATTCAGAGATTATGATGCCTAGACCTCAAAGCCTGAGAGGCTTTCGATTCGCACGCATTCCCCTAGCAGCCCAGGTCTCTGCGTGCTTCTGGCAGCTACCTGCGCCCTGAGGCCGCTGCCTGGGCTGGGACAAAGGCTGCAATGTACCAGGGGTGAGACCTTACCAACATGCTGTAAACGAGCTGGGTAACTCGAGTCCCGGATGAAAAGAGCAGCATTGCACCGAATATGAGGTAACATATGCTCCGTGATGGACAGACGTGCACTGCTACCGCAGCATCTAAAAACATGATCGAGCAGTCTGACGATGTGCATCGCTGTATGCCAGTCAAACGGAGTCAAACGGGTAAGGACAGGGCAAGAATCAGTCAAGCAGGCAAACGTGCGAATTGATTGAAAATGGCAGGAAGAACATAGCCGCGAGCGCCGTGGGGTTTGTCCATGCCGGTAGAGTGGCCACTAATGCACGGAGGCCTTCAGAGACCACTGTGCAAACTATGACTGGTGAGGTTCTTGGGTACTCTGAGTTGCGCCGCCGCCTTGAGACGAGTCGCGGAAGCCCCAACCTGCGTACAGTGTACAGCCTGTGTACAGCTCGGTGCATGCCAAGGTGAGCCCCTGTCACTGAGACGCGCCCGCGCACTCGGGCAGATTGGGGAAGTGGCCAACAAAACTGAGGAGGCCTGGGCTAAGACAAGTGCCTTTGGCGGCCTGGCGCTCGTGCGCAGACCTGAAGGCGTTGCTGGTCATCGGCCTATCCATGCACAACACCTACAGCCAAGTGATGCACTGCAAAGATGAGGCCAGCACATCCGACAGCTCTGGAATCTAAAGCATGGCATGACCCTCGAAGGTGCGAAAGCATTTGCCAGAAGGCCTGTGTCGTCGGCAGATCCATCAGGCGACACCGAGCAATTTTCGTGCGAAGGAGTGCGCGTGCTGCTGCTCGAGGAGTACTTTGTAAAGAACGCGTCCCGTGCACAAAAATTGCCTTGCACTCTCGATGTCGCGCATGCTCCGAGAGTTCGAGGCCGCAGCTGGCGATTGAAATGCGAAGCGAGGCATGGGCCAGTCACGTAGTCCAAAGCGCGTCCTTCGTGTCTTGCAGGATGCATTCAGAAGTGTTATGTCCTCAGGAACAAGATCCGAGGGTGGAGCTGGCTGGTGGCTCGGATGTATGTCTGAAGGGAGACTTTGGAATCTCCGAAGCTTTGGGAAGGTCCTGAGGCCAACTTTTGGCTTGCATTATCGCGATGCAGACTTGTGGGACCAGGTCAGGCATTGGCCCCCATGGCCCGCAATTGGCTTTTCGTGCCGTGGATGATGCAGGCTCCCTCTCTCGCGAGGAGGAGATGTGTCCCGAGCTGAGATCTTGATCTTCGGGTCTGAGCGGAATTCAGAGCCATCCGCACTCTGAGGTGCAGGCGCGCACCTGCTGGAGAATGCAATTGCACGAGGCGTGGGTGAGGCATGTTGGACATTCTCAGTCGAAGAATCGCTTCTTTGCAGGCTGGGCCTAGTCTGCCAGAGGCTCGGAAGTGTGCAGATGCCTCGCTTGAGACTGCATTGGCCCAGGCTCGTCGAGACTTCTGGGGACGACCACCCAACTGACCCAGGCTGCTGGCAGGAGCCCTGGACAGCCTCAGCTTGAATCGTCAGCTCAAACGACAGCTTCAGGTATCGCCTGCCTAGCGGCTGCCCGACTTCAGTGGTCGCGGTCACAGTGACAGTGCGGGGCTGCTAAAACGTCCGCACCGTTTGTGCGGTGAGGACCCGCTCTTGCAGCAGCGCGACTGGCGTGACACCCCGAGCTTCGTAGAGTCCTGTGGAGTCCCGGAGGGCTTTCTGCGATGTGCCAGCAGTGCGATGCCAGCAGTGCCGGAGGCAGAGATGCCTGGGGCGAAAAATCCTTTGGAGCAGGCATTGACGCTCCGAGCTGAGCTTGTTTCGCTGCTTGCCCGCGAATCACTGATTTTCTGGAAATAGTGCAATTGATTTCTGTGAAATGCAGCCTGGACGGTAAGGCTAGAAGCTGTCTTGAGCTGCGCAGAACCTCATTCAACCAGTGGTGTGGCATCCAAGATGCGCGGGCCTGTGCCGGCGTTTTGTGTGACTCTTGTGCCGGTCCATAGCCTCAGGTCCAAATGCACTACGTGTCAGATTCGTCAAAGTGGCAAGCCAAAAAAGGACCTCGTGTTGCGGAAGTGATGCAGCCTTAGTGTCTCTCTTTTGTGGTCCTTGATTGCTCTTGCGGCGATGTGCCCATGTGCCAAGGCTCAGCGCGTTGTCCAGCTCGGAGAGGCTGAGCATGGTCGGCGTCGAAGGTCTCGAAGCGGAGGTGCGGGGTCTGTCGTGTTGCACATATCTTTAGCGGAGCCAAGAGATGCCAGCGCAGAGTAACAGGCGCAATCGTAGAAGTAGGCACCCAAGCATCTCAAAGGGCCGACGGATGTGCTTCCCAGACCGTGTTCGTGCTAGCAGAGATTCGCATGACCGGCTGGCTGTTCCTCTCGAGATGTATGCTGCCAGCCGAGAGTCAGGGGGCAGGGAATGCCCGTTGACAGCAGATGGGGGCGGCAGTGCTGATCCATGAGGTGGAGAAGCAGCTTGATAGCGAGGAGTAGGAGGCTCAGTCGAAGACTTCCCTCTGTCTCCGGAAGACCTTGGACCTCGTTCTGCTTACTGTTATGTTTCGCCGAGTGCATCCTTGGCCATGCATCAAGCTCCCCGCACAACGTTACATCGCCTGATGCACCAAGCCACAGCGATCCAGAATTCAATGGTGATTCACTCTTCCACAACAGGTCATACATGCAGACACACAGAAAAGCCCTTGGTCGTCGAGTTTCGGAGGACCTTGTGTTCGTTACCGAAGAAGAAAGTGCAGTACAGAGTGTTGAAGAGGTTGTCTATTGCACCATATACCTTACCGCATCGCTCCCACTGGGCTTGATCGGTGAGATTGGCTTTCTCTTGAACCGAGCAGTTTCGCTGACGTTGGAGATTCGCAACAGCTGGGTGAAGACCGCCGACATGCTGAGCAGCCCTGCCCCCGAAGTTCCAGAGGGGGACATGACCGGCCAGGATTGGCAGAATTTTCAGTTCGACTTTGTGGTGCTGCCTCCCCAAAGAGGGAGTGCCGGAATGACTTACTTGCTTCAAGTTGCATCTGAGGGCTCCCTGCTACAGACATTCAAGGCACTGGTGCGAGAAAGCCCGTCCATGAAGAATGTGCTGATTAGCCCCTTCTGGGTTCTTATTATGCCGGTTCCGCAGGTCCGCGAAGAGACGGTGACCCGTCCAACGATTTTTGCCACATGGACGTCCACTGAACAGCCGCCGATCTATATTCCGGCCATTACCACATCGCCGATCCCTGTGGCACCCCAAATGTGCTCCAACACCAACGCTCCTTGCACTTGTGCAGGGATTGAGGGCTGCGAGTGGGTCACAGCAGCAGGTGGGCAGACTTTTTGCCAAGAGGGTCGTGGCATGGTGCCGTGCTCTGCATGCAGTGCACAGGAGCACTGCGCAGCGACCTCTTGCGCCGGGTTGAGGGCTCCCTGTCCCTGCACTTATTCACCACTGGGCTGCCATTGGGATGAATCGAGCGTGCGATGCGTCGTGGGCAGTTCTCCTGGAACGCCTTGCAGCGCCTGTGCGACTCAGAGACATTGCAATCCGCCCGAGATTGTGTCGATCATACCTGCGTCTGGCACGCAACTGAGAGTTCCGGCTCACAACGACATCGTGGTCAACTTTAACCGAGCAGTGGTAATCACAGAGGTGGGAAGCGTTTATTTCAGGTGCTCCGGGCAACAGCTTCCCTTCTTTGTTCCCTGGGAGGGCATTAGGCCAAGTGCATCCGGAACAGGCATCACGATCAGCATCTCCGTCTTGCTGAATGCTAAGTTCGTTGAGGTGAGGCAATGCAATCTGCACGTGGGATTCGGCGTTGTCGTTGACAGGTCCGACGTGCCCTTTACTGGCCTGCAAGAAGGCCTGTACCACTTCAAGCTAGGTGATACTATAGAGCCACAGCTGATCCGCTTCGAGCCCGTCAACGGCAAGTCCGACGTGGCACCTGGTGCTGCTGTGACGTTCACCTTCGACGAGGAGCTGGTGCTCATGTCTGGAAACAGAATGGTCACTCTCTATGAGCTCAGTGATGCCACCTCCGCAGTTCGGGGTGGGGCCATCGCCGAGTTCCCTATGTCATCGCCCAGTGTTGCCATAGCTTTGCAGGCGGTGAAGATTGAGCTGGCAGATCTTACGAAGCCTGGCAAGGAGTACTCCATAGATCTGCCAGGAGACGCCCTTTCAGACACCGCTGGAAACATTTTTCCAGGCTTGCCTTCCGGAGTGTATACGTTCAGATGCATGGGCATCGAAATTGTGGAGAATCCTTTGAACGATGGCAGTCTGCAGGATTTTTACCCGGTCTTCATGGCAGCCGGAGCTGTCTTTGTGATGGGCCCTGTATGTTTGATGCTGTGGAGACTTTCCCGCCTGAAAAAGGTCAAACCGTTGCACATGAAGCCCAGCAGCATCAGCCCACAAACTCTGCCGCCGGGCTCGCCAAAGGGGCTACAGGAAGATCAGGCCTTTGAGGATGACCTGGACCATTCTGCCACTTTTGCCTCAACATGGAGCTTCGGCAATCGGTCCGAGCATAGTCAGGCTGATGAAACAATGGGCAACAGTGGACGGAACTGGGCACAGAAGGTGCAGTCGCCACAGTCGCCACAGGCACAGTGGCAAGGTGCTTTTGTAAAGTCGTCGGTCGCACGGAAAGGCATGGCTGGTGCCGGTGCCGCTGCCGCAACCTTGAACCGGGACAGGAAGAGTGGTCCGAGATATACGCCCGGCTCTGCGGGGCCCGCAGGGCCCACGGGGCCCACGGCCACACCGACGGGCGCAGACGATGCAAAATCGAAGTTCGGGAAGCAGCGGCCTTCATCGTCCAACAACATTGGTTCAGCGAGCTCAGCCAAGCCTGGAACTCCTTTCAAGGAAGCGAGTGGAAACCAGGCAGGCAGCAGCGGAAACCAGTCGAACCACTCCAAGAGCAAACAAGCAAAGTCTGATGCCACAGACTTCAGTGGGGACACGTCTGAGGTGAAGAACAAGAAGCAGGCCATTGAAAGAAAGCTGCGTGACATGATGCAGTCGCCTTTGGCAGAGCGCAAGACGGCATTGCGTGAGTTAATGCTTCAGTATCACCCGGACAAGAGCTCAGACCCACATGCAAAGGAAGTGTTTCAATTTATCAATGCATCACGTGGTTGGTTCCTGGCAGAGACTTAGCCGGGCAAGTTGGCAATTTCCTGGTGAGATGTTGTCTTTGCGCCTCACCTCCTTCTTCTTCTTCAGCATCCTCATGTCAGCACGGCCGGTGATTTACCTTTCGTCTAAGTGATTCTGTCGCAGACGTTCAGACACGAAGTGTCTGACCCACACCTACGAGATTGTTTTGCCGTTAGTCAGCTGCCGAAGGCACCGAATAGGAGAGAAGCGTCGTTCGTTTTGTGAAAGAGCAAGTCCAATTCCTGAGCTCTGTTGTGCTTCTATTGGTATCACGACTGCATCCAGCATCAGCACTTGTCAGGGTACTCTTTGATGCATATCAGTCCTACGGAGGTGAACCGTGCTGGTCTGCCCGGTGCGTTTGAGAGCTATGTCTGGTGGCATTCAAAGACGCTCGTGGGTGCCCTGGTTGTGTCGCGAATCCGCGTACAGAGCTGGATTCAGCAGAAGTGCCAAGGCCAAGCTGAAAGCCGGCGTCCTAGGATCTTTTCCGGCACCCCAGCGGCAGCTTCTTCCTGGCACCTGCAGGCAGGTGCCGTGACCAGCGTGAAGTTTCTTGTCTCGGCCTCAGCAGGTTCCCCTAAACCGTAAACCTTAAACCCCTAGACCTTAAACCCCTAAACCCTACACCCCACATGCCAAAAAAAACCCTCAACCCAAACCCCGAAGGCACCGCCACCCCTACTTGTAGCTGCTGTGCCTGGCCAAGGTCTGGGCCTGCCAGCCTGCCTTGCCCTGTGGTGGTCACGGGGACCGGCTAAAGGACGGGTGCGAGCAATCTAATTATAGTATATTGTGTTATGGTATAGTCTACTGTGGTATTGTTTAGTATAGTACAGTACAGCATAGCATAGCATAGTATAGTCTAGTACAGTGTCATGCAAGCGCAGAAGATAGCTCCAGCAAGTACACGGGTCCTGCTTCTCAGTGGCATGTCTGAGAGTTTGATACAGACGTGTAGAGCCTGTGGAGCAGATCAGTAGGCTACCGACAGGCAACGCAGGAACTTGTTTTGGATTCCGAGTCTCAGTTTTACTGCAAGCAGATCCTCACCAGCTACGAATTGATCTGCTCTTTAGGTTCCGGAGGACTCAATCCAGTCTCCTCTCATGTTTCCATTCTTGTCCATTGCGGGGACATTCATCTTGTCCTCTTGTTTGTTCTCCTGCCTGTTTTCTCAAAGGATTCATCTGGGTTCATTTAGTCTTTTTGTCTATCGGTCGTGTATGCGGTCTTTGCTGCGGATGTCGGAGCACTTGTCAAGAGGTGGAAACCCTATCAGTCCACTGCTTGGCTGCACGCATTGGGGATGCGGAAGCTTGTGTGTGTGTGTGTGTGTTTTTTTCTGCGTGAGCTGTCCACAGAAGATCTTGGGCATCCCGCCGTCAGTCCCATGTCGTATCACACACGAATAAGCTCCACGACGAGCCTGCCACTTCGACATAGTCACGAAGCCGATCCCATCTCACCTTCGCACGATGAAGATGGCCTGCGGCCGGGTGAACAGATTCTATGACGAACGTTTCGCAGCTTGGAGGGTTCATACAGCTTTAGCCGCCTTGCATCCCCTCGCATTGCAGCTGTTTCCCGTGTTTCGTAGCGGAAAGCAGAGGATGCAAACAGCACGTGGGGAAGTCTCTCGAGCTCTTGCTGCCACTTGCTCTTAGGTTACAGTCGAGGGTGAAGCGACATGATGATACAGTCCAAATTCGCACATAACTTAACCATCCAACTAATGTCCAACTAAGGATCCCCTGAATTTCATGGCACATATGTATACCGGTTCCGAAGCTGCAGAATGGCAGGGCATCGTGGCAGCCTTCGTGTTGGCAGTCCTCACTGGGCGCCTCTTTTTGCTGGACTGCCGGGGCCAGCTCTAAGATGACAGCATTCCCCGAGGTCTCAGTCGTTCAGTAGAACCCTTCAGTTCTCGATTGCAGGGGCTTTCCTGTTGGGCAGGACTCTCCTGACCCCTGGGACCTGCGACTCTTCCTGGAGCCGGGTGCACAGACGTCCAGGGCTGCAAGCGCAGACAAGCCAGCTGCAAGAGGAGGAGAGTACTTAAAAGGTCATGGGGCGTAGTAATTTTAACGCTACGCCGCCCGCCTCGGCTGTGTAGCGGCAGGGCGAGGGGGCAGTCGATGTTTTTTTATGCTAGGGCGGCCTGTCAAACCCCAACCTTTTCACGGTTGTTGATACGAAGTGCGAGGAGAACGGGTAGGGGAGGGGGGGGAGGGGGGGGGAGGGGGGGGGGGGGGGGGGGGGGGGGGGGGGGGGGGGGGGGGGGGGGGGGGGGGGGGGGGGGGGGGGGGGGGGGGGGGGGGGGGGGGGGGGGGGGGGGGGGGGGGGGGGGGGGGGGGGTGGGGGGTGTGATGGACACTTGCAGGCTATTTGACATGCCCTTGCTTGCAACAGTGTAAGACATTTGTACGAAAGACACGTCAAATAGACGCTGAAATTTTCACCGGCCGAGCGCATCCTGTGCCAAAGTCGGAGCACATGTCCCCGGGACAGGGCACTGACAGCGCTGAGCGCGCGGAGGGCGCGCTGAGGGCACTGAGGGCGCTGAGGGCGCGGAGCGCGCTGCGGAGGGATGCTGAGGGCGCTGTGGGCGCTCAGGGCGCTCAGAGCGCTGAGGGCGCGGAGGGCGCTGAGGGCGTTGAGGGCGCTGAGGGCGCTGAGGGCGCGGAGGGCGCTGAGGGCGCTGAGGGCGCTGAGGGCGCTGAGGGCGCTGCAGGGCGCTCAGAGCGCTGAGGGCGCGGAGGGCGCTGAGGGCGTTGAGGGCGCTGAGGGCGCTGAGGGCGCTGAGGGCGTGGAGGGCGCTGAGCGCGCGGAGGGCGCTGAGGGCGCTTATATAGGGGGCGCTGAGGGCGCTGAGGGCGCTGAGGGCGCGGAGGGCGCGGAGGGCGCTGAGGGCGCTGAGGCGCGGAGGGCGCTGAGGGCGCGGAGGGCGCTGAGGTGGGCGCTGAGGTGGGCGCTGAGGGCGCTGAGGGCGCCGGGGAGGGCGCTGAGCGCGCGCTGAGGGCGCGGAGGGCGCTGAGGGCGCTTATAGGGCGCTGAGGGCGCTGAGGGCGCTGAGGGCGCTGAGGGCGCTGAGGGCGCGGAGGGCGCGGAGGGCGCTGAGGGCGCTAAGGGCGCGGAGGGCGCTGAGGGCGCTGAGGGCGCGGAGGGCGCTGAGGGCGCGGAGCGCGCTGAGGGCGCTGAGGGCGGTGAGGGCGGTGAGGGCGCTGATGAGGGCGCGGAGGGCGCGGAGGGTGCGGAGGGCGCTGTGAAGGCGCGGAGGGCGCTGAGCGTGAGGGCGCTGAGGGCGCGGAGGGCGCTGAGGGCGCTTAGGGCGCTGGGGCGCTGAGGGCGCGGAGGGCG